GCTAATGCTCGAAACGTCAGCTTTTCTAATTGTTACGGTGGCCAAATTACCATTTCAACTTTGTTGATGTATCCAAATTATTTTGTTACCCCCACCGACGCAGCCCTAAACAGTTTCTTTAGAAACTATCAGCCTTTATTCATCAGTTTCTATTTAGCATTGGTAAAAAAGGTAAAGCCTACTTAAAAGCCATGTGGCTCATCAGGCCGGCGCTTAACTCCGGTTTCCATAGCATGAAGCGACTAGGAGTATTTCTACCCCCACCCCCCCCGATGGAATGCTAGTCTATCGCAAGGTTACCCCCAGCATTAAGTTTGCCAGTACCCATTTAATACACCTGGGTGAAGAGAGGCAGTATGAGAGTAAAGTGTCTTGCCTAAGAACACAACACAAAGTCCCAGGCTGGGGCTCAAACTTGGACCACTTGATCCGGAGTGAAGCGCACCAACCATGAGGCCACTACGCCTCCACTTCCATTTAGCATACTTAAATTAAACTTTTTATTTTTTTGTATTCTCAGTTCCAGCATTTCAGTTTTTAGGTGGCATGCCATTATCAGTGATGAAAGCCAGTTTGTCCAGGCTGGTAGAGCCTCAGGAACAGGGTAAGATGGAATTGGACATTTTTTGAACATGTTGCTTTTGTTTTTTTTCATGTTGTAAAAAAAGAAAGGGACATGACAGACACTTGGTATACAATGCAATTACACTTATAGCATTAGCATACAATCGCAATTTTTAACTTAGTAATAAATATATCTTATTAGACGTTTTGTTGTGTGGTATGGCTGAGTATTTTTACGAGTTGTGCCGTATTTTGGCGATCCCGTAGGGTGAGTTAAAATACAAATAACGAGTAAAAATACTCAGTGATACTACACAACAAAACGCCTAATAAGTTATTTATTATTCGACATGCCAAACTGTTAGTTCAGTGCAGGGGAGTGTGTGACAGAAGTATGCAAAGCAGAATGGAATTGGTGTGTTGTTGTGTTGCTGTTTCTATTTTCTTCAATAAATGAAGAAATTTCCTGGTCGTCTAGCTGTTTTTCTTTGTTCGATTCATCTAATAAACTTGGATCTATATATACCAGCCATTCCGACTCTTCATGGTCCGAAATATGATTCAATTTGTCCACTATTTTTTTTTTAAAAATTCAATCCAATTCTTCGCTTGCATGATGCGAGAAAACCTGTTTAACCGGTACTCTAGTGTACAAATTCCGCATGATATTTGTACTTGTCTATGGCCTTATTTGTACTCTACGAAGTGTAGTTGGACAATAATTTGCACTATTCATGTTACTTTAGGCAAAGTAATGTCCCACATGTAGCTCCTTACAATGTCTATTTTGAATTTTTACATTGTCATATTTATTAATTAATATCTTGATATTCATTATGTACTTAATTTCATTTACCTTGTTGTTCATTACTCTGCAGTTCAAAATCAGTACTCATGAAGAAAGCTATAACATTATAGTTTTGTTTTTATGAATATATTAAAAGTTTTGATGAAGGTTTTCTCATTAGAGACTTAAAGTGAACATGCATCGTACCTTCCCTGATAAGGGATGTAAATACAGGACTGCAGAGAATGGTAGTCAAAATATCCACTTTTATTGCCCCTTAAATCAACATTGAAGCCAATAATGTTGACTTGAGTTAAGTCTTCAGTCAATAGTGTTACTTATTCTTTGTTCACCAGTTGTGAACATTAATTTGAGGAGGTGATTCTCCCCTTTTTGATAACTATAGCTAAGTATGCTTATCTTCAATTTCTGAAAAAACAACTCATGTTTTTACAGGAACATTGTTTGCAGTTGTCTCATGTTTGGAGGCTTCAGCAGCCTTTCTTGGAGTCAATCTATTCAATCAAGTCTATGATGGTACACACGACATATTTGGTGGCCTGCCCTTTTTGATAGGGGCCATGTTACTGATTGTTCCAGGCTGTCTTGTTGGGTTTGTAACACTTACTTACCTCCTCAGTTTACTTCTTGTCATCACGAATATGATTAATTGATGAACTGATCTGTTGATTGAATGATTGATTGATTGGACAAACCAATGAATGGACATGCATCTGTTCAGTGCTATGTTACAGATTATGGGAATATGTGGGAAGATCAGAAAGTGGTGTCTCTGTGTTTTTTATATGATAATGATGCAAAATGTCGTTGATGGTGACATTGATTTGTGTGTCTGTTGTCCAACAGAACAAAGGAAGAACTGATTAATTTGCATTTATTTTTCTACCTTTATGTCACAGATAGACATATTGGGGTAGAAAGATGCTCAGATGAGTGCAGTAGTAAATAATACATGGACATAATGATATAGAAAAGAGAAACATGCAATAAAGTAAAGTAAAGCTTTATTCACACAGGGTAGCCCATTCAGCTCTAAGGCTGATATCCATTTTGGTAGGGATAGCCTCATACTTTGCCTTGTGGAATAGTTGTGAATATTCGAAAATATGGTGAAATATGATGAAAAGTAACTAGGAACTAATGAGTGAAGACAGAGAAAACAAGTTTAGCCTTGTGGTAGTAGCATCTATAAATATTCATGTGAAGTTGAAAAAAGTTTTAAAAAATGAATGAAATCAAGTTGCAAAAAATTGATGACTGTTTGCGTATGTATGTGTACGTGTGCGTGTGTGTGTGTGGGAACCAGACACTGGTACAAATTTATTCCAGCTAACCTGCATTAGCAGCCATGTGGAAGTTTTGAGCTTAAAAAGAAAAAATGGAATGTGTCTTTAATTAATGACAGCATTGATTAGTAACATAGAGTGAGAGGAGAGTTCTTGCTATGTGTTCTGTCAGTTCATTGGTGCTAAGCAAAGAAGGCAGCCTATTCATTTGTGTTATCTTCATTTTGTCTTTAGATTTTTGCACAAAAATGAAGACGCTACTTCAAGATATTTGTTTTTTCCAGAGGAATCAGAGTGTGACTTTGGTCAACAGTGCACAATCAGTGTCCGGTCGAAATCTGCTCCAAAAATTGTCAGTGTTCCTGTGGTGCCTCATGAGGACTTTATTGTTGTGCATCATCAGAATGAATGTGAGACCAGCAATCAGGCAACTAATGGTTGCCTAATGCCTGTGTAAACTGTTGCAAATGTTAAACTCTTTATATATATAGGACTTCAAATAAACGGCTACTTTCAAGAACACAACAGATTTAATTGCTCATAACAACAACTACAGTACTACAAAGTTGCCATCTTAGCCATATTTTCTCTCTCTCTCTCTCTCTCTCTCTCTCTCTCTCTCTCTCTCTCTCTCTCTCTCTCTCTCTCTCTGTTACATGTGCACTTTACAGTTGTTACCAGTCCTTACTCATACAAAACTTATTTCTTTTTTTTTGAGTGACATTATTTGTTGTTTACCCAATAACTAGAGCCTTTAACAATTGGTTTTGGAAAGTTGTCTTAAGTTTGCAGATGGTGAAGAGGTCATCTACCTTATAAACTGTCACAATAAACTTGATTATAGTTATCTAGTGTTCTCCAGAAGCACCAACAGGTGGTATTTTTACTCGCTACTTTTTTTCTGAAGAGCTGGCTTTCTCAGTTAGACAAAACAGTAAAGTACCTGTCTTGACTTTAAATAAATTTTAACCCTTGCTTATTTTGGTATATAATAAAAAGATTGATTGAAAGTGGAAAGATCTGAACAAGTAAAGGCAAAGGAGAACATGCTAGAGGAATAGGTACTTGTGTTCTTTGGGGATTCACTTCTTTCCTGCTGGTAATTTTTTATTGCTAGTTACTATAAAAAATTTGTGGAGAACACTGGCTACCATTATAGTTATCATTATTGTAATTGTAGTTGTTATCAACTCTGTTATTATAATAATTATAATTATCATTACTAGTTTTCTTATACTAGTCATATTATTAAATCACTTGTAATATTTTATAAATACAGTCAAATCTCGATTATCCAGATTTTTTTTATTATCCAGTCTTGATTCTCAGGTCCCGTAATCTAGGATCATTTACATTCATATTTTCAATTATCCAGACTCTTGATTATAGGGACTATCAAGCCCAGTCCCCACAAATCCACGTAATTGAGGTTTGACCATACAGTATTTCAAACTTTTGATATGATATATTCTTTCTTTGGAGTGCATGTTGTGAGTAATTATTACATAGAAAACAAAGTCATTTTGTATTCCGCATGGTGAGAGAATCAATATTTATTAAGTGCTTAAATCTAACATTTACCAGAATCCAAATCAGGAATGAACTGAATCGGACTTCTTGAATTAATGGTTTGAGCAAAAAATGCTAATCAGGAGAAAATATAGTTTTATGCTACGTACATCACAACTAAAAACTGTGTGTTTTGTGTTACACTGAAATGCTGTTTGAGCCTGGAATGTTTTACAAGTTCTAATCTCTTGATGACTTTCCAGCGTGAAACGTTTTTAAGACCCTTTACATCCTAACTTTAATCAGTATGCATATTCTCCATACTGTTCTCTATACATTTCTAACCCTTTGACTCACAGAAGTGATAAACAAGCAACTTTTCCCTACAATATCCATACAATATCCAGCAAACAGGTATTGAGAATATACTGACTTATCACCTAGACTAAAGGCTGATAGTTTCTCAAGAAACTGTTTGGCGCTGCGTCGGTGGGGGTAACGAAATAATTTGAATATATATCCAAAGTTGAATTGGTAAATTGGCCACCGTTACGGTTACAAAAGCTGACGTTTCGAGCGTTAGCTCTTCGCTCCGACGAAGGGCTAACGCTCGAAACTTCAGCTTTTATAACCGTAACGGTGGCCAATTTACCATTTCAACCTTATCACCTAGAAGTTGTTACCTTGATCTAACACCAAATTCTTGTAAATAATCTTCAAGGAAATGTGTAGCAGCTAGAGGGGAGAATTGACGCTCAGATCTTGGGAGTGAACGGTTAAGTAGCTGACAAAGGGGAGTCTGCGTATGATGCAAGATCCTCACAGTAGAGAGCGCTATTTATATAATAGCGAAAATCAGGCCTGTACGGGATTCGAACGACTGATCTCTGCGATACTAATTGGTTGAGCGCTGCACTAGTATCGCAGAGGTCAGTGGTTCGAATCCCGTACAGGCCTGATTTTTTTCAGGTCTGATTTTCGCTATTGCATAAATAGCGCTCTCTACTGCGAGGATCGCGCATCATACGTATCTATAACCGCAGTTCAAAATATATGAACTTCATATATTCATCGTAAAGGAGAGTCTGTTTAACAATCAAGAGTTTCTTTAGTTGGTGATCATTTAATTTATTCTCGCGACCTTGATATGTGAATTGGGGTGATATTGTGAGGAGAGGATACATGCTGGTCACTCTTTGGGGTCAAAGGAAAGGGAGTAGAGTTGAAAATCATTTAGTTTGTATTAAAATATTCAAAATATTATTGGTTCTCAAAAGCCTCCAAACTGTCTAGTTTGACCTGTCCGATAAACGCTCGTAATAAAGCAGAATAAAGTGGGACATCTCAGTATTAAGTACTTCATGTCAGTAGAAATGCAAGCGTGTAGCCTTGTCAGCCAGTCAAAACCGAGGAAAATTTCTCAAATGAGCAGGTTTCATAGGGCCAGACTGAAAACAAACATTGACAAAATTACCTGGTTCACCGACGAAATTTTATATAAATTTATTCTTAGATATTGCCAAACTCTGAATATGAAGAAAGCTTCGGAAAGAAAGAAAATGAAACAGTTGTAGAGGTTGAAAAGACGACAAATCAAATGGGCAAGTAATTTGTCTCTCGAGAGATTTCCGAGAGATGTTATTATTAGCTTCTATTCTACCACGCCCCAGCGTATTTTTCTCTGGTTTCTCGAACCTTAGCTGAATGCGTAATTTTGTGAGGTTCTTTTTGCTTTCGCTCAATCGGCTCGAGCCGAAGTTTTGGAAAATATGAAAAAGTAAAGGATCTTGTGAAGGCATTGTCCAGAACTACTTTGTTGTAACTATCCCATAGCATTCGATTGCGTTCCCGCTGAATCTTAGCTTCTTCGACTCTTCTTTGTCTGTCCATGGCTTCTTTTTCTTTCCGTTCTGCTTCCATTTTTCTGATTTCTTCAAGGCGTTTCCTCTTTTCTTCTTGGTTCTGATTCCATCTCTCAGCGATTTTCTTCCTCCGTGTCTTTTCCAGTTCTTCTTCCAACTGATTGTCCAGCTCTCTTTCCTTTTCTTCGGTAAAAGAAAGAGCGCGCTTAACATTCGCGGCGTGCACGTTCAAATTCCAAAATGCCAACTCTGTTATCAAATGCTGTACTTGAATTCTCTCGATTTCCAAGCCGCGCTTCTCTAAAATTTTATCACTTCTGGAACCAACTCGTACGCGTTTTCGTTGAACGACGCCCTTCACCTTCGTCTCTTTATACGAAGGATCTTTCTTTGAATTTACCAAAGTGTTGTTCATTTTTCCTTTTTCTCTTTGCTGTTTATTTGTACATTTATTGCGCCGTGGATTTATTTCGTGAAGTCGTCGGTTTTCACGTGTCTGTCTCAAAGTTTTCCTTGCATCCTTGACGATTTCTCTAAAACTGTTTCTCAAAGCGTGTTTCTTTTCTATAATTTCTCTCTCGGTCTCTCGTGGCTTATCGGACAGATTTTCAGTGGAATTCATAATTACTGATTCATTTTCACCGACTGATACATCATTCCGCATGTATGGACTCGAACAGAATTTAGAATCTTCATCACAATCAGTGTGACCACAGAGCATGGCGAAAGGAGTTTCCACAGATGCCATGCGCGAATGGAAAAGCAGCGTAGATAAACCATCCACAGCAGCATTTCCGCTGTCACAAATGGCCCCGTCGACACTTATGCAAACTTCTGCACTCTTTGCTTTCTCTTCTGATTCAACAAATTCTTCCCCTCCTCGGTTCACGCGCTTGAACCCACTGTCCGTGTAGTTATCAGTGCTGGTGTAAGAAGTCGAGGTTTCACTTTCAGTTCCGGATTCATACAATAGTGATCGCCATGATGCTCTATCGAAACTACATGTAGCATCGCTGCAAATTGTTGGCTTGTTAGGAAACGTTTCCGGTAACGTAGGGGAAACAAGTGAACTATTGCGACTAAGGTCGAAGTTTAAGCTTTCCAGTCGTGATCCAGAGCAGGTCAGACTTTCCGTATCTCCGTCATAATATTCTGTTAAAGCTGAAAGTTTTCTGCTGGAAGATGTTGATGCTGAGCTGGTCATATCGACTTACGCCAATTAAACCGACCACCAGTCCGAAAACTTAAGGTAAACTATGACCAGTCTCCCACTGATTTGTTTTTATACAAGACATGAAAGTTTTCAAACGGCCACAAATGCTGGCAGCAAAAAAAAAAAAAAATATATATATATATATATAACAACTTTGTCGCAGCGGATCACAGGTGTAATTTCAGTGTGACAAAGAAAAGTTTCATTTTAAGAATTAAGGAAGACTCACATGTGTTGTTCAATGACGTTTTGTGGAAGTACTTTGTAGGCTCCATAGCCTTGCTTGTGTTTTCGTTGAGCTGTATCAATATTCCAAATTTTGTTTCAGTATTGTTCTTATCTTCAAACCTTTGTTGGTAGTGGTGTAAGATAAATAGGTTACTTTAATCGGCGCCGTGAACGTGGCAAAATAACCCTTTGTAATGTGAATCGTCTATTTTGCTTATTTAGATTTTATTATTCACTTTACTACAGCAGACGTGCTAATCAGTCGATGATCACGCGAAGCTGTTCATAACTGGCCAGTAACAGCAAAAATAACAAAAAAAACAGGATAATAAAAAGCTTCTTGTTATATCCGGTTGTTATGTTTGCGAGATCTGCGGGTTTTTTTTTTCCACTATTGAGAAAATGTCGATAATTGCTGAGATATCCATTATATGAACATGTGTGATTATGATTTTGAAAGCTACACATCGGAGCAAGTCGGTGTTTTCTATTTTTCTCGGAGACTAATCCGGAATTTTCAGTTAAAAACGTTATCGTAAAAATGTTATCACCTTAAGCACCGCTTGATCGCTGGACGGGCTTTATCTGTTTTTACGCTTACAGAAAGAAGACCCAACCAACTTGGGTTGTAATTTGCTTGTAATTATGCCTTGTGATTAATTTATAATACCGAGAGCTATTCAAAAGGTAAGAAAAAGCAGTTGCATTATCTGTAACCCTTAAAGAAGATAAAAAAAAGGAGAAGTAGATAAAAAAAACCTCACTAAGCGCCCCATTGGTCCTATCTGAACACAGCAATAGCAAACGCAAAAGCTGTGTTATAGAGTATTGTACAATTCAACGAAACGCTCACTAAAAGATAGAAAAAAAAACAAAAACAATTTGGCTGCTTTTGAAGGAAAGAACTCCGTAAGTAACCCCCTCCTCATGATTACTTCCCCGATCTATTTCCGTTTCCTAAAAATTGGTTAGGTACCAGTCAATATCATCACATCATCACAACGGTAAAATTTTTTGCCATCACTTTCTAAACTACTTTTAGCAATCTTTGAGCCTGATAAAGATCTTGAGTTCAACATGATAGCGTTAAATTAAAGTTCTCAAAACTAAAAAATTGTAAGCCTTAAACTTTTATTCATTTCCATTTAATCATCATAATTTTCTAGACACTTGCTGTATTATCATGGCACAATTTTCTAACTGATAGCACAACACATTCCTATATCGGCTGATCCATGGCGAGTGTTAAATCAATGCGGCAGCCGTTGTTGGCTGGCTGGATATTCTTTAGGAAAAACTTCCCGACTTCAGTGTAAAAACAAGCGAGGCCCTGTCGCTTTAGGCGGCCGCGCAGCCCTGCACCGGCAAAAACAGTCGAACTGTCCTTCCCAGTCTCCTCGCTGAGAATGCTTGTTGCAAGAAGAGAAGTTGCTAGTGCGTGTTTCATTTCTAAAAACTTATTTCCAAAACATCGCTTCCAGAATGAATCAGATGGAGCATAACTACAAGATCAAAGACTATAAGCGCTATGAAGCTCCGGGACCGTTCATTCGAACCGGATATCGCCTGAACTATCCGCAAAACTACCCCAACTCTCAAGAAACGCGGAGAATGGAAGAACGATTCCAAACCATACAATGGCCTCGAAACAAGACGCTCATCGGTTTGACTGACCAAGGAGATAGAATGAAGTTCACAAGAGATCAGCAGATAAGTGTATTGACAAATCAAAGCGAAATGATTGCTGATGTACAACATCAAAGACAGGTCCTTCTCGATACAGTCAAACGAAATATTCATGTTGCTAAGGACGAATTTGCTCGGGATGTTTACGTTGGTAGGCCCGGAGTTCGCGATATGTTACGAGGCACTCAGCCGCTCTACAAGGTGATCAACAATGGAACACTCTATGGTTAAGGATTTATTTTGTGCATTTTGTACTGAATTCATGATTTTTTGACATCTTGTGGCATTTTTTCTTCTATGAGAATATTAAGAATTTGTACAGATTGCCTTTTATTTGTTTCTGTAAGGGTATATTAGGTAGATCGGTTCGGTTGTCAATATATTGTCAATATATTGTAAAAATGTCAATATATTGTCAATATATCGTCAATATATTGTAAAAGTGTAAAAGAGTAAGTTTAGAAATCAGCTTGAATTAAATTCGGAATATCTGAACTCGTTATTTTCATAAAATATTATTGGCAGCTATTGGTTGAAAGTGTTGTGCAGAAAATTATGATAGATTATTACAGTTTTTGGTGGCATTTAATATTCTGTTTTGTAATTTTTTTCTTTTGCAAAATCAGTTGTTTGGTTTTTATGTTCTCAAAATTAATTTTTATTGTTAACCAGTTTCCACTGGGGAAGTTCTTCCCTCCTACTAAAAAAATAAACGAAGTAAGCCATTTGTCACCTAATAAATTATAGCCATTTGTCACATGTCTCTGTACCAGTCTGCAGAGTATGGCAGAACTTGACAAGGCCTTCTGCATGTAAAGGTGATTCACATGTGTGAAATGTGTGAAATGTGTGGTAAGAAAGAGAAAAATTCAGGCACATCTGCCATACTCTGCAGACAGGTGTCTGTCAATTTATTATCATGGGCAACATAACATATATAGTATAAGACATGTTCTCTGCAGTTGGCTTATGGTTATTAATCTCGTTTCCTAGTAGAACACTGTTAGATAAAGCGCCTTCAACTTTAAGGCTCAACAAATAGCTTCTTTATGGGAAATGAGCCATGGCTCTCCCTCACTCAAGAAGAGAGCATGTCTCCTTGGGAAGGAACCAAAAGCACAATAAAGAAAGTCCCAGAACCAAACATATTCATAATTCAGAGGACTTTTCAAATCTAACCCTGCAAATGCTTGAATTATGTATGACCTCTATTTTGGTGTTAATTAGCATCAAGGCCAAGTTGTTCAAAGCTGGGTTAAGGTAACCCAGGGTTAGTGTGAAATCTGATTTAAGATATGAAAGGGTCAAAAGAAGATTCAATTGAATTCTTTTTGTGAACGATTTGATGATTGGATGCTCTCAAAAGAATGGGGAAAATTATCGTTCGAAGGCTCTTGAATAGAGAAATAAAGAAACTGGTCCTGGATTAAAATTTAACCCTTGGTTAATGCTAGTAATGGGCCTTTGAACAATTGGGCTCAGGCATTTATTTATCAACTTCTGTGAGTCATGGAATATTGGCTTATAATTATCATTTCTCATATGTGGTGGCGATCTGAGCAGGAGAAACTCCTGCTTCCACATGCTGCCTTGCTACTCTCTGCACCTTTGACTCCTGTTTAACCCACCCACTTATGTAAAGGATATATGAGTCATTGTAATTTTGGAATTCTCTCCCAGTTTCTGCTCTCATAAAATTACAAACTCCTGCCCCTTCTTCCCTGGTACGCTGTGCCTTGAGTGCCACTTTTTTGTTTTTACCTGACATTTTGATGTTATCGGTGATCTATCTGGAATCTATTTATTAAATGGAGGAAACCAGTTTGAATTACTTGCGAAAACTTGTCAATTATTTTAGACCCAGCATGTAATCTTGAAAACGTTTTTTCAATGTTTCACATGGAAACTTAGTTATATTCAAAAACATGAAAAGAGACCTTGCAAATCCCTTTTTTTTTTCACGTGCTGAACACAGCTCTATATATTTAACAATTATTCCACGAGTGTGCGTTGGATATGAGATGATAGATAGCCAACAAGGCGCGTAGCACCGAGTTGGCTATAATCATCTCATATCCAACAAGCGCGAGTGGAATAATTGTTTTATTAAAAAGGCCCTCAAGAAATTATTATTTTGTAAGAAGAAACTGGATTTTTTAGCTCCCTTTTGATTTTAAGCTGACGCGTACGCTTACCATATTTGTAGATTATGGTATATTGGCTGATATACCATAATGGCTAAGCCAATAAAAAGTCTTGAATTGCATTATCCAATGATCCAGTTTTTAATAAATATATATATCCAGTTGCCAGTACTCATTAACCCGTTCCTTCGTTTAAATGCGTCAGCGGTCCTCTAATCAAAATTCAAGATGGCTGAATCACCACGGCTGCAGCGTCAGTTGCAGCACACTGCGGCTGCTCCATGAAAGACAGTTTTAAATATTCCCTAATGGTACTGAAATTACGAGCAGCGCATGATGTTCATCGTCAATACAAGGGTCAAATCACCTTACAATGTTGGTCGGAATATCACGCAGGCACTATGGACAACAACATTAACTCTGATGTACTTCATTTGCAAGTGTGTGAAAATGTAAGTTCATGTATTATACTGTATTTAATAAGGTTTTTTAACTACACGCCACGTGCTTAGGTAATAAGTTTATATTCCTCCCGTGCTGCGTCCTTTTGTTACAAAATTAATACAGAGGCAAAAGGTGGATCATCAGTAAACACGACACGATGTTATGACTGTTGTTGGGGTTTATTGAAGCACATTCCTGCGTCTGGCCGTCAGCAACGAGACAACAAAGCAATTCATTCAACCCCAATCCCTTTGTATTGTTTAGTGCTTTTTAGTTGCCTGTCTAAACTCCAAACTTCCTATTTTTTGATGACCGTCAACATCAGGTATAAGGACTATAAGTGAGGCGAGAAAGCTTAGTTGCCACAATACTCCTAAACCCTTTCACTCCGGAAAATCTCATTAGTAAATATATCTTATTAGAAGTTTTGTTGGTTAGTATCGCTAAGTATTTCTACGAGCCCGTAGGGCGAGTCAAAATACGAACAACGAGTAAAAATACCCAGCGATACTACTCAACAAAACGTGTAATAAGAGATTTGTTATCCAACATGCCAAATTGTTATTTTAGTGCGGCCGAATTTCGCGGATATTTCTGGAATACAAATATCGCGAGATATTTGTACCCGTTTCGCGCGTTATTTGTACTTTACGAAGCACAGTTGGATAATAAACATATCTTATTAGACGTTTTGTTGTGTAGTATCGTTGAATATTTTTATGAGTTGTGCCCTAAAAAGTAAAAGGGTTCAGACTAATCTCCCATATTGTTACAGCTGATTTCAGTCGTCAGCGTTTTGGAACGTCGTGCAATATTCATATTTTTTCCTTTTGTTTAATCCTGTTATGAGGAAAGTACTGATGATACGAAAATTTGCCCTCTTCGACATGCAACTAGTCAAATTACTAAAATGTAGGTTTTTACTACTGGCTGACGCTACAATACAAAGTAAGCATTGTTTATGGATTTTCTTTTACACATTCGGCGAAATTGTTGACATTTTTTGTACTTTCTTCCTCTTTATATTATTGTATAAAACTACGTTTTTTTTAATTACTTGTAGACATATATGCTTTATTACACATGTACGTTTTTTTTAATTACTTGTCGACATATATGCTTTATTACAGCCATTTTCAATTAACTGTCGAAAGTAATCGGCCGAATTTAGCATTGGTTTTTCTTTACTTCGCTTTGTGATTGGCCCAAAACACTCGCGCCACTTTCTCATCCAATCAGATGCAGAATTATTACATTACCAATCACTACTTGGTCATCCGCGTTTACCCGCGCTTTGGGCAGTTTGCGTGGTTTAAGTTTGAGTTCTCATTGGTTCCTAAGGGTATTTCCCGTTATTCTGATTGGTCTTTGTCATAAGTGGTTTTCGTTTCACGCCTGTCAGTCGAAAAGCGCTCTAAGGTATAAGTACAGCGGTATTGCGATATTAATCAGGAGGAACCCTATTCTTCCGGCTGGCGATTGACCACCAAATCTGGCCATTTAATAGCCAGGAACTCTATTTCTAATTAGAGTAAGTGAGCTATTTATATCAAAATACAAACACCTGGCGAAACGACGAAGCATGCATTGCATATCCCGCTCGCTTGACCGCAATGCTCGACCGCAAGGAATTCATTTCTTCAAGGAAGGAAAGTATGAAAAGCTAAATGGTCTTGACACGCTTGTGTTAAACATCGATTCTTTGAACATCTTTTTCATAGCCATGTCACGTGCCATCTTTTTTAATTTGGCCATTTCCCGTTCTCTCCTTTCCCTTTCCTGTCTTTCTTTCTCCAGCCTTTCCTTTTCTAATCGTTCCCTTTCTTTCCGTTCCATTTCGGCCATGCATTCTTTCCGAACTTTTTCTATTTCGCTTTCAACGAGCATTGAGACTTTTTTCCTAGCTTTCATTTGATCACTGTGTAACTGGTTACGGAACTCCATTTCCGACTCTTCCTTTCCGCTGAGGGCGTGCGTTAGGTCAATGGCTGCTTGGGTCAATCCTAAAGAGTGAAGTTCCACGATAATCTTCTGTACTTCCTCAGCTCTCTCTAACCTTTTCACCTCATACTGCAGAAGGTTCGCCACTTTTGCTTTACCGTTAACCGTAGTCAACGCAGCAGCAAGACTGTGTTTCCTTCTAGCACGTGCACGATCCAATTCGGCTTGAATCTTTCGGAGAGAAGCGAGTTCTTCCGAATGTGTTCGGCTCCTCTCGCCATACTCAACTACTTTACCTTTCTCTTCCTTTTTTCGCTGTGCTCGCTCCTGCATTATTCTAGCCTGCTGCTTACCTGCTCTTTCTTCCAGCCTGTCAATAGAAACTTTCTCAGCTTCAATCCGTGTTGCGATAAGTTGTGACCTCGCATCTTCAATTACAACTTTAAATTTTTTTTTCGTTTCATTTCTTTTTGCGGCAGCTTCGTATCGTAACCTCGTGAGTTCTTTCTTCAACGCTTGTTTAGCCCTTTGGCGAATTTCCTTTTCAGAAGTCACGGAAAGTTGTATCAGATGATTTTCATCGTTGTCGTTTTGTTTGCGTTCATCTTCGCCATCTTTTCTTACGTTTTGTTCTTCGTCCTCGTCTCCTTCTTGAAGCGCCATCTCCTCGAGTTCACTGTCGTCGTCCATCTCAGGGGTGATCGAGCTAGTACTTGTAATGAGAGAATGAGTCTCTGATCCCGTAAGACTTGAATTCCTCATTGTCCTTTCAATTTTTGGTAAAACAATGCGAACATTGTTGTTGAATCCTGTGGCTGCATCGTTTTTTAATTTCTTTTTGTTGTGTGGTTCCATTTATTCGACAAAAATGTTGCGTCGAATGTTCGAACACTAACGTATTGTATTACCTCAGCGCCAAAACAACTAGAAAATTCCAAAATGGTTTGAGCCGTTTCTTTGTCGGCCAAAAGATATATTTTTAAGATGGGTACATCTAGTAAAGTTGCGATAGTTTTTCCTTGTATATCAAGTTTTTTTGTGTAGTCGCGTTTCTCACCCTAGAACTGCCCGTTTCTTAGATGAATAAACTTCCATTTAAGATAACATAATGGTTCTGCAGAAGCCTATCAGAAACTTCTTTTATGCGGTATTAGCACGTCACAGCGGTATCGACAAAACTGCAAGGCCCATCAATAGAAGATTTGGAAATCATTAAAACGAATGACTAATTTCTTGCCGCGTTTTTTTATTGTTATTGTCGCGTAGTTGGATTAATAATTCATAAATTCAGAACGAAGAATTTCTTAATTTATAAGCTCACTTCTATGATGAAATCTTAAAGATGATAATCCAGGTTACCTAACCATTTGACGTCACCTGTACTTACCCATCTTGATGAGAAGAAATAGAAGCAAAAATATTTTACACGTCAAGTCTAAACTTTTCGAGCAGGAGACCTCAGTTTTATAGCTTGATGTTAAGGTATTAGAGCTCACATATGACATACTGCGAGCTAGCTTGATTGCAGGATTCCCGGATAAAGATTTAATATTTTTATTGCCTGAAATCGAGTTATCAGTGATGGTAGATTACAAAGATAGCGGCCATAATCAAACACTGTAGTCATGTGTAATTCTTGGTAGCAGTAGTAAAGCCATAAGTACTGGTGATGATAATGATGACAGCACCATCAGTATAGTGTTTGCGTCGAATTTTTTTAAGTTGCGCTTACATATTTGCTTCAGACCAGGCGTTGCTGGCCGTTTGCCCCCTGTTTACGCGTTCAAAACGTTCGGCGTCCCGAGGTAAACTTGCCAATGAATGGATTTTACGATTGTACAACTGTGTAAAATTGTCACCATGCGACCTCATTGTCTTGTTATTAGCTTTGTTACCTAGTTTCTGACAACACCTTCGGCTGTCGGTTGTGGCATGTCTTTGCTTTTCGTATTTTCTAAAAACTTGACTGGAAATTGGCCACTGATAGTGCGTAAGGTGAAAATATATCGAGTAGTTTGTTACAAAGTCGAAAATTACCTTCAACATGCTTAAGATAATGAAAATAAAATAAAAAAATAAAAATAAAATTAAAATAAAATTAAAATAAAAAGGAACTGAAGATAGAAGTGAAGGAGAAGAAAAAAGAAAATTGTTGACAGAAACAGGGAAATAGAAGATTGATGTGGATGTGTTTCAAATAGCCAACGTGAAAAATGAAGGTTACATTTTGAGATAGACAGTGATGTCCAGATCATGATCAAAGACTTGCGTGTTAAATTATAGAAGATGTTGACTGTTTTATCTCCCTGCTAGAAAGAGATAAACGTTATCAATTATATTGTTCAGTATGTATACTAACCTCTCTTTCAATTTTATTGAAATGTTTGGTTGTATTTTTTGTTATAAGATTATTTTCGAATGAAAAGCGGTTTATATAATCGTTTTGATATTAAGGTATCATTACGATTTCTATGTCTTCAGGTGGTTTAAATACACTAACGCGTTTTTCGTTTTGATTCACTACACACAATCGGCTCTCAGCTTTTCTTTAGGTCTGTCATGCAGCGCTGGAGTGGAGAATTCCACGTTGCGTGACAAGCTTTTGTGATTGTTGCCATAGTGAACTCCTCCCTGTGGCAAAGAAGATTCTGGTAGTCGGAGTTTTCCCATTGATGTTACCGATCATCAGGTCAGTTCATTATTTATTCATTGTCAGACGACCCATGGTAACCCATGTAGTTACTATTTTCGTATTGGAGGAGGGAAAAAAGAGAAAGTGTGCGATCTTGAAATCCGTGAAGTCAGTTTAGTTTGATCAAAACTTCGCTTAAGTGCTTGATTATGAGCTTTTCTTGCTAATGCCGCCATCACTCGCCTACGTCTTTCTTGTTCCTCTCTCACTTTTCTTTCTTGTTCCAGTCTCTCTACCTCAGCGATCCTTTTTATGCGTAACTTTTCCACTTCTTCTTCCTTTTTCTTTAATGCCTCGACGCGCGCTTTATTTCTCTCTTCTTTAAGCTGACGCCGCAAAGTAATGTCAGCTTTTTCTTTGGACTGTATGGACACGCGTAAAGAATCAGCCTGCTCACTTAACCCAAGATCAACCAGGTCTTGAATCAGGTGTTGGATTTCGTCGATTCTCTCAAGTTTACGCATCTCTGTTTGCATCATCTGCTTTATTTTTCCTGCTTTCTTTGTCTTCAGAACAGAGATGATTCCAGTCGAACTCTTTCGTCTTGCCCGAGCTCGATCTAAATCTGATTGGATTTTTCTCAAGGCAGCCATTTCCTCTATTTGCTGTCTCACCCAGTCATCACCGGCTCCAAAGTTGTGGTCGTGAATTTCACTCCCTTCTCTTTGGTTCTTTTTTTTCAAGATTTCCCATTTCCTCAAAGATCTCTTCTTCATTATCTCGCTCTGTTTTTCTTCTGCTCTTTCTTCTAACTTGTTAACAGCTTCTTTCTCTGCGTGCACTCGAGCTTCTATCAGCATATCGCGAGCGTTGTCAATAACCCTGGTGAATTTCTTTTTTATCTGTAATTCTTTTAATCTAGCGTTTTGCCAAATCTTTTTGAAATCTTCTCTTAGATTTTCTTCAACTCGATCCTCAATTTCTTGCATGTCCTTTTTAGAGAGCATGTAGCTCTCAGCCCTTTTATTAGAAGACAGTTTTGAATCGCTACGAAAGTCATCGAAATCGTCGAACGAAAATTCCGAAGTCGAAACACTTTTTTCGTCTTCATGACTGTTGCTGTTAGAAACAGGGGACAAACTTTCGGAGTCGCCATAGGCAGAATCAATACTTGGCAACCCCAAGCTGCTGGCTTTCCTCGTATTTCTTCGATAAGTCTCTTGGATTGGGTCCAGTCTTTCGAAAGCATTTCTTCTTGCATCAGACTTATAAATATCCACCAGAAACGGTTCATCGCGTGGAAACGACATCGAATTCTTTCAATTGTTACTGCGTGCTGATCGTCAGTTTTTTTTCCGGCTTTCGACATGAAACCAATGAAAAGAAATTTCGTTCCCTAATTGCATGCGATTACTATTTTATATGTTATAAAAACCTCGCACGGCGCTCTTATTCTTTGAGGTATAACCACACGAAACCGTGAGACGTACTGGATTTTCCGCGATAATAAACACTACGTTCGATGCCATCATTCCTTTCGGCTTATAATTATTTTTGGCCTTTTTTTGAGTGTCTGAGAAATTAAGTACTCGTTAAGAGACTCCCGATTGGAATCGCATCCTCGAGTCCGAATTTCAGAAAAGTAAGTACATCGACGGATGTTTTTGAAAACTTTTATTTCATTAGTATCTTAGTCTGAAATATCTTATCAATGTTTTCAGCCGTATTTACTTTAAGAGCAGAAAGCACCTCATAATTTAATAATAAAGCGGTTGACGATTCGTTTATTTGATGTATTTTTACAGAGACCAAACGAAAAACAATAAAAACAATAAAACTCTACAAATAGAGAGAACATGTTCTATCAAAGTCATTAATAGAGCCTGGCGTAGCATGTGTCATTTCCTTTTTATGATTCCGTTTCTGCCGTTGTTTTGTGAGTTAAAATTAGTTAGTTTTTCTTTCCTCCGCTGATTTTATTTCAAATAAGTTAAAAAAAACGAAAACAAGTCGTTTCGATGGAGCAAATATGATAGTGAAAAAGGGAAACCACAACGGCTCGTTCAACAGGAAGTGATCCCCAGTAGTAACTGTGTAGTCCAGATGGTGACACTGCCTCGCCAAAAGGTTTGCGTCGTAAGTAATCACTTCGGGATGGGTTCAGTGACAAGCTTTCAATGCCGCTATTAAATTGTTTATTTTGTTTTGTGTTTTCCTCACTTATTTCTCTAACCCTTTCGTGTTGAGCTCTACATATAAAAATCTTGAGTCCTACATGACTTTCGTGATTAGGAATGCAGTCTTCACTTTTTTTCCTTAGCCCGTGCTCCAATTGTTCAAAGCCGGCACAGTTGCTTGTATGTAGTCCACAACAAATTTGGGTACAGTGAAATAAAACTAATTGATGTGCGATATACAGTTTTCGACTTCTTGTACTCGACTCTTGGGTTATTCATGTATTTGCCGAAGTTTCCAATAATTTCCAGTTTTCCGTGTTTATCGCACGAAACAGGATCCTGTTTCTTTTCTCCCGCGCTCTGCCGTTGGGCACAGGTTTTCCCGCGCTATGGTGGGCCTATTTTAACTCGCACTGCTGACTCTCGTGTTTCCCGCCTTAATCTCGTAGCCAGATCCAACCTTGTAACTGTAACTGAAATACAACCGTGGCCGTGGAAGGTCTGAGGTCGGATTCGTCCTGGATGTACTATCATTTTTATATATTTATTTAATTATTTTTTCACCAAACGAACTGCTCCAAGCTGGTTTATTCAACTTTCGGCTCTGCTTAGAATGTGAAGAGCAGATGGCCTGATTTTTGCCCTTCTTCTTCGATGACACACAAGAACATATCGAATTTTGGCGGGAAACACTTCCCCTTGTGTCTGATTTGCTACTGTCGCTTTCCTCACTGCTTGACTGCTCATCATCAGAAGAAGCGGGCCCTGATTCAGGTATATACAAAGGGAAATACGAGAATTTAAAAGCCCGTGATGTCTTCGCCGACAGTATTGCCTTTTGCTTTTCATTCCGAAGCGTAGTGTTTTTCTCTCGTCGTCGTAGAGGTTCAGCCCGTCTTTTTTCTCTTTCACGCATTCTATTTTCTTTCTTATTTTCTTCCAACTTCTCCAGCTCCTCCATTCTCTGAAAGAAAGTCTCGTCTGTTCCTCTCGATGTTTTTCGCCTCTTGACGGGTTTTCTCGTCTCTTTCTTCTTGAAGCTCCCGGTTGATTGCCTTGTTCAGCTCTTTTTCTGTCACAAGTTTAGATTCCAGAAGGTCACTCAAGTTCTCAGCTTCTGTTTGCTTGTTCAGCGGTTTGTAGAGTTTTGGTATGGTTTTGTTGAAAGCTTTAGAAAAATTTGCCGGCTTCGAGTCATCACTCTTGCGTTGTGTGAGGATGCCTTTTGGTGGTAACCCAAAGAGTATCAACGGCTTTGAAATCTCCATCAGAAAACCCGACATCTTTCTGGTCATGAGCCAATTGTTCACTCATCTCTAGGCTAGACACTCCATGGTTTTCTTTAGTTTCTGTTGCTAACAAATCATCTTGTGTTATGTTTGCATCTGGAAAAGTTTGGTTTTCAGCGGAGGGCCGACGGAATTCGGTGGTTTCACTTATAGAGGACTCACTATTTGGTTTTTGCAGTCGTTTTCCATTTAACTCTCGTGGTTTTATCTCCTAATCTTTCCGCTGAACGGAACGTTTTTGTCTTTCAGCTCTTTGTCTACGAGTTGTTAAATCTTTCACGCGCCTCTTTTTTCCACTTCGCGATGTAGTGGCTTCTTGTTTTTGGACAATTTCGGCTTGTTGAATGATTTCTTTAGCTGCGGTTAAGTGTTTCTGTAACTCGTTCTCAAGCACACAAATGCGATCTTGTAGGAGCTTTGAAACCCTCAAGGGTCTTCCGCGAAAATCCAAGTTCCTTGTTGAGTCAGTTTTCTCAGTCTGTTGAAAGTTTGAAAACGACTCCAAATTTTTAGATCCTTGGATGTCGGGTAGGTCTAAACCGTCTTCACTTTTTCTCGTTTGTTTAGCAAGTTCAGGAAACTCTGCCGAGAAACTTTTACTCCGTTCCTGTTTGTTAGGAAGGTCAGTGAAGTTCGACGTTTATTCGAGGCAGAGTCGAGTCCAAGCTTCTGGGTCTTGTGTAGACATAGCTCCCGCAGTACTCACTGTCTGAAGAGAGAGTACTGCCCACGGGAGTCTCAATGGACCTAGTTTTAGACGCGGAATGAAGTGATAACTCCATGTTAGATTACCGACAACACTAACTACATCAGTAATGATTGTTTTTCAGTCTACTCATTACGAAATTATTCCTTTGTTGGTATTTTGCAGCTCTTTAGCGCCGCTAGTCTGCCACTTAGGTCTCTTATTCTCCATTTAGGCGTAAATTATACTGTTTGCAAAATAGGTGTTGTCACTGGTAACAAAAACTGAAATTTTTTGCGGTAATTTTCACCTTTTCACTTTTTAAATTCTCGTTTTCTTTTCCGCTAATGATGTGAGCTCTGTCAGCACTATGTAAAATTGATGATGATGAGTTTTAATGCCCGTTTCCTATTGTTAAACTGGTTTAAAAATTTATTTTCAGTTCTGCACCATCTTTATCACACTGCCTTCGCTTTCGATTTTTAACGGTAGTTATTTTAAACAACAAACATATGAAATACATATATATGAACTGCGGTTATGAAACGTATATGTGCACGATCCTTCGCAGTAAAGCACTATTTAAGCAATAGTGAAAATCAGACCTGAAAAAAATTCAGGCCTGTACGGGATTCGAACCACTGACCTCTGCGATACTAGTGCAGCGCTCTACCAATTGAGCTAACAAGCCAACTGGGAGCAGGCCATCAAATTAATTCGACATAAACCCGTAGATGATAAATCAAACAACAAACATATGAAATACATATATATGAACTGCGGTTATGAAACGTATATGTGCACGATCCTTCGCAGTAAAGCACTATTTAAGCAATAGTGAAAATCAGACCTGAAAAAAATTCAGGCCTGTACGGGATTCGAACCACTGACCTCTGCGATACTAGTGCAGCGCTCTACCAATTGAGCTAACAAGCCAACTGGGAGCAGGCCATCAAATTAATTCGACATAAACCCGTAGATGATAAATCAAACAACAAACATATGAAATACATATATATGAACTGCGGTTATGAAACGTATATGTGCACGATCCTTCGCAGTAAAGCACTATTTAAGCAATAGTGAAAATCAGACCTGAAAAAAATTCAGGCCTGTACGGGATTCGAACCACTGACCTCTGCGATACTAGTGCAGCGCTCTACCAATTGAGCTAACAAGCCAACTGGGAGCAGGCCATCAAATTAATTCGACATAAACCCGTAGATGATAAATCAAACAACAAACATATGAAATACATATATATGAACTGCGGTTATGAAACGTATATGTGCACGATCCTTCGCAGTAAAGCACTATTTAAGCAATAGTGAAAATCAGACCTGAAAAAAATTCAGGCCTGTACGGGATTCGAACCACTGACCTCTGCGATACTAGTGCAGCGCTCTACCAATTGAGCTAACAAGCCAACTGGGAGCAGGCCATCAAATTAATTCGACATAAACCCGTAGATGATAAATCAAACAACAAACATATGAAATACATATATATGAACTGCGGTTATGAAACGTATATGTGCACGATCCTTCGCAGTAAAGCACTATTTAAGCAATAGTGAAAATCAGACCTGAAAAAAATTCAGGCCTGTACGGGATTCGAACCACTGACCTCTGCGATACTAGTGCAGCGCTCTACCAATTGAGCTAACAAGCCAACTGGGAGCAGGCCATCAAATTAATTCGACATAAACCCGTAGATGATAAATCAAACAACAAACATATGAAATACATATATATGAACTGCGGTTATGAAACGTATATGTGCACGATCCTTCGCAGTAAAGCACTATTTAAGCAATAGTGAAAATCAGACCTGAAAAAAATTCAGGCCTGTACGGGATTCGAACCACTGACCTCTGCGATACTAGTGCAGCGCTTTCAGACCTGAAAAAAATCAGGCCTGAATTTTTTTCAGGTCTGATTTTCACTATTGCTTAAATAGTGCTTTACTGCGAAGGATCGTGCACATATACGTTTCATAACCGCAGTTCATATATATGTATTTCATATGTTTGTTGTTTGATTTATCATCTACGGGTTTATGTCGAATTAATTTGATGGCCTGCTCCCAGTTGGCTTGTTAGCTCAATTGGTAGAGCGCTGCACTAGTATCGCAGAGGTCAGTGGTTCGAATCCCGTACAGGCCTGAATTTTTTTCAGGTCTGATTTTCACTATTGCTTAAATAGTGCTTTACTGCGAAGGATCGTGCACATATACGTTTCATAACCGCAGTTCATATATATGTATTTCATATGTTTGTTGTTTGATTTATCATCTACGGGTTTATGTCGAATTAATTTGATGGCCTGCTCCCAGTTGGCTTGTTAGCTCAATTGGTAGAGCGCTGCACTAGTATCGCAGAGGTCAGTGGTTCGAATCCCGTACAGGCCTGAATTTTTTTCAGGTCTGATTTTCACTATTGCTTAAATAGTGCTTTACTACGAAGGATCGTGCACATATACGTTTCATAACCGCAGTTCATATATATGTATTTCATATGTTTGTTGTTTGATTTATCATCTACGGGTTTATGTCGAATTAATTTGATGGCCTGCTCCCAGTTGGCTTGTTAGCTCAATTGGTAGAGCGCTGCACTAGTATCGCAGAGGTCAGTGGTTCGAATCCCGTACAGGCCTGAATTTTTTTCAGGTCTGATTTTCACTATTGCTTAAATAGTGCTTTACTGCGAAGGATCGTGCACATATACGTTAAGTTATTTTAAGGCTGTTAGTCCCAGCATGTTGTAAGACGTTTGACATCATTTGTAATAACCTTTACATCAAGATAATTTGGTCGACACAGATCATAAGGTTTATACTTTTTAAGCTCTTGCCAGAAGACACATTTGAAACAGAAAATGATAGCAAATCGAAAGTGGTCCTAAACCGGAAACGGAAATTTCAAATTTTCTTTCCTGTGAACAGGTAAAATTTAAGTCACGCTGTCGACTTTAAGAATTCAGAAACATCAGCCGGACAAGAACAAGATGGTTTTTTCTTAACATTTATTTCCAACTTATCTCTCAGATCAAAGAAAGAATTTTCAAGCTGGTCAGCTACTTGGATTTGAGAGTGCTGGGAAAGATGTGAGCGACGGTTGACTGTTCCATGAAACCGCGTTCTTATACTTCAAGAGATAACGTTTAAATGATTTAATTTTTAAGTTTAGCGGTGTAGGATCCATCAGGCGTCGCTTCCTCCCTGAAGACAGATTCAGTGGAGAAGCAGTGAGGGGTCACGTGATCTTTCTGACCATCCAACTCGTAAAAACGTACTATAAAGCCTTTGTGTGTTTGCATGTTTGCCGGATAATATTTTCCTTCCTCAATTTTTATCAAGTTTGTGAAGAAGAAGTTGCAAGATTTTCTTTCGTGCAATGTTTTTTCCATTAGAAACAATTTTACTCCAAAACCATTCAACCGAGCAGGTAGTTGTTGTTTGAGATAATGTATTTGAAACCACAAAAAGAGCACATGTTTATTCATATCATCGGCAGTTCTGAAAGGATTCAAAGAATGTATTAACTCATGCACGACAAAGCGGGACTTCAGTCGAAGCCATGAATACAAATCTGTGAGGAATTACATATTGGTTTTTTACCTCTGAGCTTCTCAGGACCCCTCAGAGTTTTCCGAATAGTGTGTGGCGTGTTTACACACGTTCTACTCTTAGTTTAGAACATGAAACAGATGATCAAGCTTTGATTTGGCCCGCTTCAAACGGCTACAGCGAACTTCGACGAATGAGGAAAATAACCTGGCAAGATTTGCACTAAGTGAGGAGAATCGATGACTGAAGCCGATGAGAGGGAAAAAATTCGCCAAATCTTGGATTATTACACGAATGATGAAGGCTCTAGTGAAGAAAATATCTTTTCAGGTTAGTATACCTGAGATAAAGCCACGCATGCAAGTAGATCGATTTGTTTGAAGTAGAGGAACTTCAAACTCATAAACATATGTCAGACGATAAAGTTTTCGTAAAGTGTTTTCGTGGAGTATTCTCAGAGACATAATTTATCCCTTGTGGTTCGGCCAGAAAGATTTTTTTCTTCGTCGCCTTTCGAGTTGTAGCTAATCATTGTTTTCGCTTTCCTTTTGAAGTATCTACCCGGTTAGAAGCCGAAAGAAGATAACATATTTAAAGCACATTGAATTAACAAGTCGCTAACAAGGGATGTGATCGATTAAACTTTGTCGCTTTAAAAAACTTATCTTTTATCTATATCACCGGGTAATTGTTGGGATTAACGCTCAGAGCAAAATGTGCACCACACTTGGTTAAATTTCAGTTTCAAAGTTATCGTGAGCAGTATCATATCAACAGGTCGATTATTTAGTGTAGAAAGTTCGGCTCGATTAAAATAACAAATGGTACGTCAGAGATTTTACAAAACCATCAATACTGTCTGTTTCGATTCTGCGGGACTAAAATTTTGCGTTTCGATCCTTTTTTTTTTTAAAAAAGATTAGGTAAGAGTTGTTCAATAAACCACGAACATAACATTTTATGAATCTTCTGGTTTGCACGTTAATTTCATTATTCATATCAGCAGGTCTCCATAATGCATATTTAATTTCGTTGTTTGTGTTGAACAATCCCCATAAGGATTCGCTCATCTGCTTAATTAAAACAACTTTCCTGCGTGAAATGGTTTATGTCTTAAAGTTGTTCAAAAAGTTTCGAGGTCAGTAGAAATGATATGACTTCTGCTAAGACTTTAAGAATTGTTCTATCAGGGTATTGATTTGAAGTTTCTTTTAGAGATTTTCAAAGATGATGCAGTCTATTGAGCTTTGTTTGAAAGGAATACAAAAACAGAAGCATTTAAAGGGTTGAGTGCGGGAATAGTCTCGAAGGCAATGATTTTCTTCACCAATCCAAAATGAGCGCGATGATAACGTTTATAGAGACTTGAATTCACTTTCTGATGAGAAGGAAACAAAATATTTGAAAACAATAATTGCAGTAAATGTGGAAGCGGGTTTTAAATAAGCTTTGGAGCAGATTCATTGAAAAGATTCAAAAGCTTTTCTGTAAGATTTGTAATCTTGTAATTAATGCGTTGAATTTGTGCATTTTACATGGTTTGGCCATAACTGTAGTAGTCTTCCTGACCTAAACATGCTTGTGAACGAGTTCTAAGTGACGCACTCGATGAAGCAGCCGACCGCAACAATGGAAAGGCTGAGGTTCGAATTATTTTGGGCGTTAGGTGAATTTATTACTTTGTCTCACGGGGTTTAACGCTCGTCTTTGTTCATTGAACTTTCATGGAAATCGGGGGAAGCATATTTCTCACCTCCATGAAGAATGTTCGAAAAGTTCACCGGCTCAAAGGTCACATGCGGTGAAATTAACAACAGAACGCTGTCGTGCAGCCCAACTGGGAGGAAAATAAAAGAAATAGATAACTCCAAGAATTACAAATCCCTTATTGTTTGTCGTCCTCCAATTTGATGTCATTTGTATGGATCTGAAATGTCCTCTCATGAACAATCTCGTGCCTCTTGCTTAAATTTCAGTCACTCGAAATCATTTTCGTAACAGCTTTTATGCCTTTACCAAAAAATTACCAGCAACAGCAAATTTGCAGATTCGCTCTAATAATTACAGGGAATGTGTTTTCAAGAAAACCCCGCCTGTTCTAAGCAACAACAACAACGAAATCAGAATATATAGATGGTGGTGTCGACTGCCCGACATGCCTGATTTTCGCTATTGCTTAAATAGCGCTATCTACTGCGAGGATCGTGCACCATATGTATCTAATACCGCAGTACAAAATATATGAACTTCATATATTTCAAAATATATGAGCTTCATATATTACATTGTATATGCCTTCATTTGTATGTTTCAATCGAATTGAAAATTCGCAATTAGGAAATTTTCGCGGTTCATGCGCAAACTAACCCAGTGACTGATCTTTAGAGAGAGCAGTCGGGTCAAGGTTTTTGATCTTTTATTCTCTGAGATTATGGTCCAGTCAATTCGATTCTCTGATGTGAATGGGTTTCAGGATGTTATTAGTTATTTGGTACCAACTCCTTTTTTATTCTGAGTCATGAAATGATGTTTAATTCTCAGGGTATAACTTATTGAAATGTTGGTTCCGACAGGATAATGATTAACCTTCATCTCCTTCTTCCTATTTTTCTGCACTGGTATTTGCTGCATCCCTTTTTTTTCCCGCGCTTTCTCCGTCCATTTGTCGTTGTCCCCCTCTCTCTTTTTTCCTTACACCGATGGGGCCCATCATTGAATTTCACTCCTCTCTTCCTTGGCTTTAACTTTTTCCTTCCATTGCTCCCATTCCAGGGCCTGCTTCGCCTTATTCTTCCTCTACTTTTATTCCAACTGTTTTTAAATCTTTGCTACTCTTTCTTTGTTTCCTTACCTTTCCGTTACGTCAGTACCTCTTGTTTTATTTATTCTTGTCTCGTCCTCTTTCTAAAAGAAAGGATAAGCCGATTTGTTCTGAAATAGCCGGACGATTAGGAGCAGTAATTAACTAATGCTAATAAATCTCGAGCGGTAAGATTTTTGGGTTAAATCCCGATACAGGAATTTTATCGGCGAAATCCCTTATATATGTCTTTTCTCTCTTGAAAACGGTAGAAGGACTTTTAATATATGTATTTTTCTGGGATGCTCACTGTTTATCATATGGCTCAAACAGGCCCGCGCACGCAATCCTGACATATGTTGGATGAGCCGGTCCTGTCCGGAAAAGCCGTCCAGCCCCACAGCATTCGCACAGCTCTGTTACATTTTCCATGAACGTGAATTCCTCTTGTGGACTTAAACTGTAGTAGTATCGAGTGATAAACTCTCGTTTTTCGAGAAATTGCGGGGTTCTCATCCTGACCCGAAGGGATTAAGGAAAAGTTGTCATTGTAGAGACCTTTTTGAAGGTGTTCAGCGCGCGCTCTTGCCAAGTATGTAATCGTGTCTTACTTAGGTTCAAATATAAAGCTAAGTGGACATATGAAATACTTATCGTTGATCAAGACGGACGGGAAAACAATCGGCTCTTGGTTATGACGCTCGCTTGATCAGTTCGTCATGACCTCAAGCTATATATTTTTCCGTTCGGTCCTCCGACTCAGTCACTATCAGTACATAATTTGAATATTTTCCGCCAAAGTTTCCCACGCATATTGGATTTTTTAAACTTGTGTCTCCCCTTCTCAATTTATATTTTAATTGTTTACTCCTAACCGTTGAGGTGGAAGATAACATTTCGGTCATGTTCAGAAATGTAATTGGTTTAGAACGAATTTTTTCTGAATGGTATAAATTTAGAACAGTAATCCAAAATCAAGCCTGAACTGTTACGGAAAAAAAAAGCCCTTTTTTTAAAATTTAAGAGATTATTCAATGTTAAAGTATACTGAATACTGAAAATTAGTATTGGTTTGTCGGGGTTCGCGAAAGCTTTTTCAGCCATAGTACATGTATTTGCCTTTAAATTGTCAGTTTACCACATTGTAGTTATCTTGTCTTATCGTCGCACTAATTTTGAGACTAACTGTTGGTTAATGCAGATCAGTGTTTTGACAATTTTCGCGAAATTTAATGTGTACATTTGGCCAAATCGCGAAATGGAAGTCCAGCGAAATATGCCCGGTCCATTTTTGCAAAATTATAAGTTCCCGCGAAAATAATTGACAATAAGGTAACCATGCCTCTTGATGCAAATTTTAAATGATTATGGACAATCGAACTTTTTTTTAAAAGACAACAAGCCATAGAAATGTTACATCATTAAGACTTTGCAAATTTAGACATAGATTAAAAAAAAAAAAAATTTCGAGTTTAAGACCATTTGAAGTTGATGTTTTGTTATTATATGGCTGTGTCTCACAAGGACTGGGAACTACCGAATTCACGAATTTGATTGGCTGAAATCAATATTGAAAGCGGTCTAGATTTTCCCATCTAGACCGGCATCTAGAGCGGTCTAGAAAATAAAAGTACAAAGAATATAAAAAGTTGGCATATAAGAAACAGCCATATAATAAACATCTTATTAACCGAGCTAGGTGGGTCTGTATGGGAGAATCCAACCTCGTTCCCAGGGTCTTTTCCCTTTAAGGGAAAAGGCCCTGGGAACGAGGTTGTGGGAGAATCTTGACCGAGGTCGCCAGTACAGACCGAACGCAGTGAGGTCTGTACCAGCAACCGAGGTCAAGATTCTCCCATACAGACCTCCCGCTCGGTTAATAAGAACTAAGTATCTAAAGACGGATAATTAGTATTGGTTTGTCGGGGTTCACAAAAGTTAATTAAACGAATTTTTTGTGCAATTACACAACGTTTGCAAGGGTTGTAATGAAGGCACTACCTGTATTGTCCAAGTGTTATCCTGCTCCCGCAAACACAATAGAAAAAAATCCCCTCTGCCGACCGTTTGTTCTACACTGACCACGCTTTGCATAGTTTTGATAGTTTTAGCCAGCCTTGCATATGCATATGAAATTTAGATTTCTGAACATCTTCGCCTCAAGTGTGCCGGCATGTAATGTTCATGATATCAATGATCAAACGATCATCTATTAATTCACTTCCAAATGAAAATTCCACTCAAGTTTTTAATGACGAAGCCAGGGTACTGTATATTTTACCGCCGCAGGACTGACTCCTTGCGAGGATGGTAACTTGAATTAATTACTTAGTTCTACCTAATTTGTATTTTTTAAGACGCGGACTAACGTTTTTTTTTTTTTTTTAATCTTTTCCAGGGGAGAAAGTCAAGATCAGGATTGCCATCGGATTCGCTGCCGCCTGTGCTGTGCTTTTATTAGCGATATTTATAGTATTGTTGTACAAAGTCCTACGGTTCCGATCCGAGACCGGAACAAAGACCGACGCCGCCAGAAAGCCGTCGTCAAATGGCGCACCAGTGCAACGAGCGCCAATCCCTGAGGACCGAGACTTCAAAAAATTTCGCCAACAACGTCGGCATCAACCTCTGATGAGATCCGACAGCTCTGCGTCAGAAATCGACCTCGATTCGTGGTTAAAGAAAAACAACAACAAAATGTCTGCTACTGAATCAGACAGCAGCGAACAGAGTCTTAAACTTGGAAAGTTGGAGTTTAGCATCAGTTACGATACCGATAAGGAATGTTTACGAGTGTTGGTGTTAGCAGCTTACGGTTTGCCGACCATTCACAGTACGAGCTACGTGGAATTGTACCTGCTACCCGACAGGGTAGAAAAGCACCAGACTAAAGTACATTACTCTAACAGCAATCCCTTTTTTAATGAAGAATTCGTGTTTGATATTGCGTTTTCGGAACTGGCTGAGCGCACTTTACAGTGCTGTGTGTTCAGTTACGATGGATTTTCGCGACATCAATCCCTTGGGGAAGTTTTTTATTCGTTTGGCGAGGATGATCAATTGAGTGATTACGGAGGAATGTCGCTCTGCAAAGATATTAAGAGAGATGCGTTTCTTTTAAAGGTGAGATGTTCATTTACTTATCTCATTTTATGGACAATCTTAAGCTAATATCAAAGCAAACAAACTGAGGTGAGGCACCTACCAAACCCCCCCTTCCTCACCCACCCCACGGCTTTATTGGTCTAATTCATAATTTTGCTTCCATGATGAAGACCCGGGAGCCATGTTTTTTTTTTTTTTTTTATCTTGTTATCATTTGGGTTGGGACGAAAAGTGTCAAAAATGTTGTTTGTTTGTGGTTCGCACTACGATACTAACAGAAATGTTCGAGAACTGGAGTTTCTGTAACTCCATTTACCATACTTTTTTACGCAGTTTCGAGCTTTTCTTCTTTTTTATTAAAGAATCTGTCAAAGTGTTTCTCATTCTGATTTTATCTTCTTTTGTTACCAAGGAGGACAGTCCATCCCGTACAGGGGAGGTGTTAGTGTCGCTTTGTTATCTTCCCACCACCAACAGACTCACATTTGTTGTCTTGAAAGCGAGACTTTCGAAAACTGCATTTCCGAATGATTTACCACGTGAGTACAATTTGTAGTACGGTTGAACAAAAATAGCGTCTATTTTAAAAGAGTAGTCTTCTTTGCTGTTTTAAGCATAGGAGAATTTGAATTGAAAACTGACTATTGTATATTAGTAGAATTTCAGAGCTGAGCAAAGAGTTCCAGCAATCTGATTGGTCGAGCGGTTCCTTATATGACGGTATATAAACCGCTCCACGCGGTTTATATAAAATGTTAAAATAAAATGTTGATAAATGTTACTAAAATGTTATGATTTTAGAAATTTCTCTGTTGTTCAGCTCTGAAATTATACTAAAACAATTATTCGCCTCAGGTTCGGTTAATATTGTCGAATAATCCTCTCGACTTCGTCTCGGGGATTATTCGGCGATATTCACCTCGCCTTCGGCGAATAATTGTTAATTATAAGAATTGTAGTACAGGGCTAGCGCAAGATGTGACTATTCACCAATGCCGCTCCGCAGCAACAAGATTGCTAATTCTAATAACTTATTGGAACTGGGACTGCGTGCGATTGCATACGTAGTTTCGCCTTGTTTGTGCGGTCTCTCTTCTGCCCAGTAGCTAAATGGTGTAGACTCCAGTTAAAATGAACGCGAAAGAAACCTTTTGCGATTAGAAGAAAATCCTTGGCTATTAATGCGCAGCGTTGAAAATAAAAAAAGGTGAACTTCATGCAAAGTTAATGAATCGTTCAAAGGTAAAGAGAGTAATTTGAATGTTATAGATTCGTCCAAAATGTGTCTTATCTGATCTATACATGTAAATACTAGGCCATTTATTCACAGGGATCTTTTGTTCGACGAAATTTATACACACGAAGCTGGCTCAAACAAATTTGACCATTGTTTTGTCTACCCGAGCTGTTTGTAAACCTGTTGGACATTTTCTTCCAAGGGGTCAGGGGACTGCCTTTGTAAAGAAAATTGAGTTCTAATGGCGCCCCGCTCAGCTGGAGTGTTAAATTAGTAAAGTGAATTTGAATGCATATTTCTTTGTTACCCCAAGGCTTACCTAAAGCCATTAAGCCATTGTGTACATGAAATTTTGTTCGAGCCTTAAGTCATTACCACTAATATACACCAGCAAATGAAGTAAAAGAAAACAGGACAGTTGTGGACAGGCAACTGTATTTGTTCGCAAGATTATCCTTTTATACAGGCCCTACGCAATGGCTTGTAGTCTATCTGAAAATTTTATTTTACCTTAAGGCGGCTCCTGTCTTCATTAACATAAAATACCTTAGAGAAAATATTAGTAAACAAAATCGTCATTACGTAGTCATCTCGAATTTTCTTCTACGTCTATTGATTTCTCTATTAGCTGACTCTTTGAATTGGTGAATATTTAGTTTCTTTTTGTTAGGTACTGGGGTTATGATTTGTGGAAGCTGTGGTCACAATAGAATCTATTATTTACATAAAAAAGCCACTTTCAGGGACCGTTCTGAACTAGGTAGAACTTTCAATATTGTAATCCTGAAAATAAATATAATTTATCTCTTTAAAACATTTTTGATATTTAAATATCCGTGTCTTAAAATAACTTCTGCGGTTTCTTCTTCACTGTCATGTTAACATTTTGTTATGTTCTATGAAATTATGTAAGCTGTAAGCGGATGTCTGCAATTATTTTATTGGCTGTTCCATGAGGATGCTTTTTCGTTAAATTCCTCAAATAATGATTGACAAGAAGTTCCCGTATCTTTTTTTTTTCGCTTTGTTGCAAAAAGTATAGTAATCTTAGCACAGATTGAATATAGCATTCCTCTCGGTCTAGTCGTTAGTTGTAGCAGTAGATTCGTTGTTCTCCATTGGCCCTAATTTTTGTCGAACGCTGTCCCTTATAAACTGCAACGCCTCGGTGCTTTGTGTCATGAATTTGTCCAACAAAGTCACATTGCCACGACTGCCTGATTTCGAAGGCAAATGTGACAAGTTTCGCTTTCTGTAATTTTTTGAATGCGTCAAATCTGATGTAGATTGGGTTCGCCTGCCCGCAAATGTCGATGTTCGCTTTGCCAACCCTTCGGTGGTTTCAACTCGAATGTCCCACTGACTTGCTGCTGTCGAAGTTGGAAACCGGCTTGATCTCAAACGATTCGTTTGCTGCCTAGAGTGTTCTCCGTTAACCCTTGCACTGCTCCTGGTGAAAAGTTTAAAGTCAAGTTGTGCCACCTCCGGCAGCTGTGAATATTCCGACAACAGTTGTGCATCGTCGTTATCATGTGCTGGCTTTCCGTTCAATACGCGTTCAGAGCGCAAAGCAATTAACAATGCTTGTTTTTGAGCCTGAGACTGGCGAAGCTGTGACTTGACCAGCTTAATCTCCGATTGCAGTTCGTTTTGCCTTGTTCTCATATCGGTTACCGTGTCTTCCAACGTTTCAATGAATGCTCGGCTTTCTTCAAGGCTGTCGTAAGGTCCTGGTGGATCGTCGAAGCAGAAGAACTCCGCCGCTGGTTGTGAGGTAATAACTTCCTGTCTTATTAACAAATTATCGATGTACTCTTGTAAACCTTGTTTTCTCATTTCTATAAAAGAAGGGTCAAAATTATCTCCCAAATATTTTTTAGGCGGAAGGACAGCATGAAAATCGCTGAATAACTTTCTTAATGCTTCGTCCATACGGACAAAATCGGAATATCTGCGGAAAACATGCCAATTTCGTTCGCCTCCAAGTTGGACAAAGATCTGGTAAACTGTGAATCTTTTTCTGGCTTCCACCACCTCATAGCCAACGATCGGAGCGTGAATATCAATATCCTCAGTCGGTGGGAAAGACTCAAATGCATGTCCGTTGTCCTCTGGATCGTTAAATGTTTCTTCAGCCATATGCGCCGTAGAAATATTAATACTCCATCTGTACTTTGAACCAAATACGAATTTCAGAACCTTAATATTTCGGTTTCCATCGGTATTCACAAATCAAACTTTACTTCGTATGTTGCGTTACCTTTAAATCAACACCTCTCTGGACTACGAAAGGAAACTAAACGGATGTGTTTTCATTGTTTATTCAGTATATGTACTCATCGAAGGCCTAATTTCCAATTCAAATAAGGCTTGGATGTGCTTGGATACACCTCGCGAAACACCAAACAATACGCACACTTTGTGGTTATTATGTCAAGCCGTTCATAATGTTTACATAGTTTTCGATAGAAAACCAGAAAATTCCGAAAGAATGACTAAAGGAGTTTTCACCATTGCTCCGTCAGCAGAAAATTACACTGTACAATTTATTCTCCATTGCCAGAAAATATTGTTCGAGTGAAAAGTGAATAAATTTTATTAACAGTATTATATTAACTTATTGGCCAGAATCCATCCGAAAACTCGATTGCTTTCAAAGTACAACTTGTTTTTACACATTTTTTCAGCTAAAGGGCCAAATACAGAGTAACAATAGAATGGTTTTGGCAATTTTCAATTATGTCAATTGGGAAAATGTAACTACCTGTTTCCAACAGTTCCAAAAAGATAACCACCCTCAATATTGTTTAACCTAAATATAATCGCCCTTTGCCAATATTTACTCGGAATTTAAATTGCCATGGACACAATGTGAGCTAGCCACCAGTACAATGCAGTGCGATACGTCAAGAAGCACAAGAAATGAAAAGTTATCAATGGTGATAAAAATTTCCAAAAACTATGTAGCTGCTTAAAGGAGTTTGTTCAAGCTGCTCAAGTGAACTACCGGTTAGCTCAATTGGCTAGAGCGCCGGATTGTGTTGTGCGGGAGGTCGAGGGCTCGAGCCCCGGCCGGACCAATACTCATGGTCTTAAAATAAGTGAGGAGAATTTGCTACCTTTCTCTAATATTAAGAAATGGATAGATATTCTAGTCTTCTCGGATAAGGACGAATAAACCGTAGGCCCCTTCTCCTGCAGGGTTAGGGGTGGGAGACATTAATTTCCCACGCACGAGATTACTGTGTGGTGGATGTCCTCCCCTGGGGTGGGATGGGAGGGAAGGTGAGATCGTTACATGGACTGAAGCGGCTGCCAGAGGCGCCTGATAATGCTGACGTCCGATCTCAACCTTATCATTGTAACCAGACACGTTTGTTGTTTAGAGTGCTTAAGACTTTCTTTCTTTCTTTTATGTTCACCCATTCTGACTCTGAAATTCAAATAAGCAGTTGGGGAACAGGTTTTTTTTAGATGTAAGACCTCTACTAACTATGCACAGACCAAACAAGATGATGTTCGAGCGTTATGAATGACACTTCTATCAATTGGGACAAACTTGAATTGGGTTGGCTTATGATTTTAAAGGTTAATTTTCTTGTGACTTTGGTGATAAAGCGCCTTACTATCGGGTGTCTTTACCCAAAACTAAGATAATCATAACGTCTAGTCAGGACATAGGTCATCTTCACAATGGGCGGACGGAACTCCAAGTAAAACCACGTCGGCTGCTTGAAGCGCGGGAAAGCGCGAGCGACCAGATTTAAATGTGATTGGTTGAGAAAGAGACATGAGTATCCTCGTCCGGTTTTGAGGGGTTCCACTTTACCATACCGGAGAATGGTGTTTTTCGCACGCGCTGATTGGCTGGTTCTGAAGTAAGTAGCAAGCACATTTCACATCCGGGCACGAGCCGAAGAGACAAAATCGCGCGTCATGAGTTTAATTTCTGACCAGTTTTGGTATATTAGCAGAAATAAATTAATTTTTTTGATTTGCTGTGGTATATACTAAAGCAATTATTTACCTCAGAGTCGGTAAAAGTGGTGGATATTTACAGAGCCGCTTCCTCCACTTAACTAATTCTTGCCACCCGTTATCCTCCTTTCTTTTTTTCTTCAGATCCATTCATCAAAGTTTCCTTGATGCTGAGCGGTCGACAATTAAAGAAAACAAAGACATCTGTGGCCAAAAACACCTTAGTTCCAGTCTACAACGAGGCATTTGTATTCGACGTCCCCATCGACCGCTTAAGTGACGTCAGCTTGCTAGTGCGCGTGCTCGATACAAACACTGAGGATGGGAGACGACCGCAGACCCAAACCATTGGGAAGGCGATCGTGGGACCCGATGCGCAGACAAGTATTGGCTTGCATCACTGGAATTGTATGATGACAACTCCGAGGAAACCCATCGCTCAGTGGCATCCACTGGTTAAGAGTTAAGGTGGATGACCTTTCACGGATTGGTTATGTAGCCATCGAGGTCAACACTGAACTCAGGATCAATTTTGAACTAGTCCTAGTATATCTCAGTTTATTAAAAACTGGGTCATTGAATAATTCAATTCAAGACTTTTTATTGGCTTAGCCATTATGGTATATGAGCCAATATACCATAATCTAATATCTGGACATTGTAACATCCGGCTCCTTCTTACAAAGTAAAGTCGAGAAGATTTGTCTAATATCTTGGGGGCGTTTTCTTTAAAAAACAATTATTCCACTCGCGTTTGTTGGATATGAGATGATTATAGCCAACTCAGCGCTACGCGCCTCGTTGGCTATCTATCATCTCATATCCAACGCGCGCTCGTGGAATAATTGTTAATTATTTGGTTGAGTTTCGTCAGAAAGTATAATAACAACAAAACGTACTTGACTCTATCAAATTGAAGGGTTATCGCTTACAGACAGAGGTTCTATATTTTTACTTTAAACATATATTTACGCAATTGGGATATGATTGTGGGTTTGAAATATAGCTGAAACTCAATTTAATTTCAGGTGAATTTTTTGTATCGGTTTTAAATATATATCTCAAAAGTGAATAGTGGTTTTCGCGCGCGGTGATTGACTCGTTCGGAAGTGATTAGCAAGTACTATTAACCTCCGAGCAGCCGAAGAGACAAAATTGTGCGTCAAAAATTTAATTTCCGATCGTTTTTTTTCAAGTATCTTTTAACCTGATACGGTAGAATAGTAACTGGTGGAATGATAGGCATTCGTAGTATCGTAAATTGGCCACCGTAAAGAGTTAAAAAGCTGACGTTTCGAGCGTTAGCCCTTCGTCAGAGCGAATTCGCTCCGACGAAGGGCTAACGCTGGAACGTCAGCTTTTTAACTCTTTACGGTGACCAATTTACATTTTAAACTTGGTTGATATTACTAAATTAGTATGTACTAAAACAGTGGGTAGCGTTGAAGGCGCGCTCTGATTGGCTAGTCAGACTCCGAATATCCTTTGCTATTTACCTCCAAGCAACTCGGAAAAAAATGGCGTCCCGGTTTGCATCCGTGACAAGCGAAGAAATCACTCAATTCAATTTTTGGTGGTGTATATTATCTCACTGTTTTAGTATACACCAAAACAACTATTCACCTCAGTGTCGGTGGAGAGCGGTGGATATTTACCTCGCCGCTTCGCGGCTCGGTAGTTATCCACCACTAACCACCTCCACTTACCACCTCCACTTCGGTGAATAGTTGTTAATTACCTTGTTACCCCCACCGACCCAGCACCACAGTTTCTTTAGAAACTTACCCCCTTTTTTCATTTGTAGTATCGAACTTAGTCTGACTAAAATGTTGAATCAATCTCTAAAGAATCAAGTACACAGTATATACATATATATAGATATTTTTTACTGTTTATTTATATTAAGTTTTACTTCTGATCAAGCACACAAGTATCTTTTTAAATTTAGTATTAAAGTAAGGAGTTCCATCTCCATTAGGCGAATACTAATTAACAATTTGCTGTAAGGAAACGATTGAGCCGAGTTTGTACTGAGGAAGGCGAAACATTTGTATGCTACAGAACTTCACGCCGAGAATTAGCCCCTTTACTCCTTCTGGTGACCAATAAGTGATTTCCCCCCACATAATCAATTCCTTGTAACACAGAAAGATGACGGGAAGAAAGATTACTATCGACTGGAAAATATTGTTTGATCAAACACCACATTCTCCGAACTAAAATCATAAGAAATCTATGGTAAAGAGTGTAGAGAATTGACGGTATGATCTTGAGAGTGATAGGGTTAGTAAATTATTGCAACAAGTATGATAAGTGTCAAGTTTGTGCTGAAGACTTCATTTGTGGTTGCATTCCCCACACCCTTCTGAATTTGTTTGCGAATTTTATATTGGATTTAAGAAATTTTTGACGTTCAACCACTCACATTTTGTACAACTTTTGTATTACAGGGAAAAACATTTTTCTCAATAAAGAAGGAATAAATTTAACTTCTCTAATCATAGTAATATACTAAATTAAATAATTTGCTGTTTTCATAACGAAACAAATGGAAGATTCTTCTGTATTCGAAGAAAATTAGATCAGTTTTGACCTCCTATTCCCACAGAGTCCTCTCTGAAAGTTCTAAGCTGAAAATAACTTGATATTTAGCTCAGTTAGTCCAGGTTATTTATCAGCCATTCCTTTTTTCATCCGCTTTTTCCAGGTCAAAACCAAAACATTCCTTCACGTTCAGTTTCCACTTTAGTACAATGTCTTCCTGTTATTGACACCACTTGGTTGTTTCAGCCGCAAAGGAACCTTGCATTCACCTTCCGGTTTTCAAATAAAATTTACTGAACTTCTGTACATGCGAGCCGATAAAAGAATTTTTGTTTCAATCCAGTTGTAACGCTAACCACAAAAAGTTCTGTACCAAAATCCTTCGGTTAATTTCCTGCAGAGCGGCGGGAAGTCTCGATAACAGTTCTGGTGGTACACTGCTTTTGCTATCGTTTCGCTTAATTGTTGACTGCCCTTTTTGCAATCGAGGTGTTCTCCTCTTTGTTCGTCTTTTCTTGTTTGTCGTCCTCGCTACTAATGGCTTTCGTTTCACCGGAAGTTTGAATTTGGGTTGTTCTGACACTGATCCCGCCATGATATTCTGCGAAAAGACGATAACAGATAATTTACATTTTAAAAATACGTGACCGAGTGTCAAGGGAAGTGGATTTGATGTCAAGAGGTCCCAGTTTCAATCGTTTATTCTGGCGCTTTGATGAATTTGTCCGTTGGCAGCGAACTTTTAACTTTTACTGCACCTTTCAAATAACTCAATGGTTTTCCTCCCAACGGCTGTAAAATGTTTAACAATATGTTGATAGTTACTCCACATTTTTACTTCTGTATTTATGGACACACGGTAGAGTCCTCAATTAGCATAAAAGACACAAAATACTTCAGCCATCTATTTAATCTGACTCTCGTTTATTCGTTAAGCTCATGGAACCTTGAAACCGTAAAATCTAAACTTTAAGCTATAAATTACCTGGTTAATGTTTTAGTCCTGTGTTTCTTGGAAACAGGAATCGATACACACAAGGTAATATAAATGTTATTGTTCGAACAAGCATCAATGTCTCACTCTGTTTACAGACTGCAATGCTGTCTGACGCCAAATGAACTCGCCACAACGTGTCTTTTACATATATGCCTTTCGCGAGAGATTTGTTGCCCCTATTGCTGTAGCAGACTTTGGTTGTTCACTAATTCCGGGATAATATTTCTTAGAAGGAAGAAAGAAGTTAACGCGTGACCTCTCAACAGAGTCACGTCTCCGATGATTGTCACGTCTTCCGAGATTCGAGACTTCGACAAAATACAGGAACTACACTGGTATACATAAATTCCTCATTTCGCTTATTTAGAATTAATACCTTTCTTTCTTCCAGGGGTTTTACTTGCTCCTTGATTTCACGTAGTTCTCGCTTCTTCCTTTTGCCCTCCAGACGAGAGTAAAGTTTAGCTCGATATTCTGAATAAATTAATGAAAAGAAACTAGTTTTTTCCAGATTATTCATAGAAAGAGAAACTTTTCTGAGCTCTCCATTTATTCGATAGTTATCCATAAGTCCTCGCATGTTTATAAGAATATCGTTTAGCTGTACCCGAAAAACGCTTGCCACCAATAAAGCGATGAGCATCTTCCAGTACATGGCCACAGACACAAGATCTTGATGATTCTGTTATCTGAAAAATAATAATCGTTCGTGAGAGTTGATCAAGCGGACTGCCCCTTGAAAACAGTCGAATCCCTGCATCAGATTCTCGACCGAACGGAAAATCAACATACCGTGATCATCGATGGATTACTTGAAATAATCCTACGCTTATTCAAAAGTTGATTTGAATGCAATGGTCCTTTTTAAACGGGAGTTTGAAAGAATTTCTTCGAAATTATTTGACCAATCCCGATCTCTGGAGTGTAATAACACTTCTGGAATCGGTGACGGCTTAAACGAGACAACTTATAGGCTTCCGCATAGTTCTTGAGAGCTTTTGACCCAGTATCACTTTCGCATGCAATTTCCGTACGGAAATCAATGTTTTTATTTTGCTTGTACTAATGGGCTGTGTTATTGCTTAGAACGATTCCTGCCGGGGCAAAGAAATATCTGTCTACTAAAGGATTTTAGCAAATTATCAGGCTGCGCTTTTTGGAAAACTTCTTGAGCCTGACGTTTTATCTTGCGAAGTTCCAGTTTGTTCACTGATTCAATCAACCAGTGGAACGAATACAAAATATTCAGATCACCGACTGGCTCACCAATTCAAAGGCAACAGCCAAAAAACTGGATTTTGCAAAACCAGAATCCCGACGAGAATGTGGCAGGACTTACCAAAATATTACAAGCGAGGCACTGTCGAAGAACCATAATGAGTCAAGTTTTTTCGCCTTCTCCCTCGCCTCTATCTAATCCTCCGCCTGGAACGTTCAAATCCTTAATGTTTTGGTTACTCTATTATATAAATCCTTATCTAAGCCGCGTGGAAACTGAGCAATCAATCATGACGTCAGTGTCGCAAATAGTAACACCTTGACTGACCTATGATGACGCATCATGACGCGTAACTAATCCTCTGAAGGTAAACATGCATCGGCGGTTGAGACAAGTTTACTGAGCTCGAAGGAGGTTTTTGTCCCTGTCGCTGTGACCCAATATTCAATAAGACCGGTGTCAGAATAGCAAAGCTGAGACGAGCTCTAAGACGGAGCTGAAGCTTTATTGTGGTTAAACTTATCAAATTTAAGAAACGTTGAAAATAAACCGTTCTTCATGGTCAAGGGTCATTTCTCGTATGTTCTTCGTGAATGCAGATTCGTCTTAGCGATCCGACTAGCTTAACTGACTGAATTGCCATTGAGTAGTTCGTTTCTATGGTAACAGGTTTAATCGTGGCTCGTAAGGCATATATATGGTAGCTTTGTTGCAGATGATTAAGTGATGATCTCTGAGTTCCATTATGATTTTTATCATTGTTTTCAAATGTCGTAAAATTTTCAAACATGTTGTCATTCAGTTCAATGACGTGTTCTTTTTCCTATATTTAGGCTTTCGGTGTCAGAATCTTGTAATTTCTTTTAGGTATAGCTTTTTGACAACTTGAAAACATTAGTTTTTCCCTGCTCTGTCACTGACTAGGTTTTAACGCCAACAGAAACCCGTTGAAATCGCTCAAAATAAACACAGCGGTATTGTATCCAGTCTGTGGGAGATAGTGGGTCTTGCCGGCTGATTTTCTTTGGCTAAACAATACAAAATCTAACTCGTTCGGCGAATCTGACTCTGACGTAAAATATAAGTATATATTTGAAGCACTTTGTTGTTGCGAAAGCTTCGACGAATGCGCAAAAAAAAGGCATACACAAACAAAATATTGGACCAAAATGCGTTTCTTGGAGATGACGAATGCGAGGGAATCTCACGCCTTTTTGTGTAACAAATACCTGAAAATACTTTCCAGTGTATAATGGTGAACTCGTTATTTTATATATAATAACCAAGCAGATGGCGTTTTGAAATTACTTAAATTTATTTTGCGAATATCCCTTAAGGGTCTGGTTGCCTGCAAGAGTTACTATGAAATGTTCCATCTTATTTTTTGATGCTTGCTACGGTAATAGTCAAAATTTTTCTCAGCGGAAATACGCACTAATAGGAACTTCTAAGTATAGACCCAAGCATTTAAAAGTAGATGCCAGTGGCTGAAACTTATACATGATTCATCAGATTATTTTTTAGAAGAAGTCTTAGACGAGTCGTTCTACTGTTCCATCCACATGTTTTTAAAAGTCTTTCCACAGCCCTCTTTTCTATTCAACGTCACCAGACAGTATTGGTCGGTTATTTAAACAAAGTTTAGCCGTTGTTTGGTAATGTCGCGTTCTAAACCATTTTCAATTTAGCCGCACCTTTTATTTGAACATTTATTTTTGTGAACAGTGTCAAGAGGGACGAAAACTAATTATGGAAGAACAATTGCTTCATTCAATCAACCCTCTTATAGAGAGTCCCAGAGGCCCCACTGCCGCTTGGGTATAAAACCTCGGCTTGGGTTAGACCTTGAGTAACTAAATAGGCTCTGTAAATTTATATTAGTTCAGTTCTGACAAACGTAATTCAGTTCTCACCATTGTCCTATTTTGAGGAAAGAGGAGCGTCTTAGGAAAGAGACAAGAGATACCGACGGAAAAAATAGGAGATTAATTTGGTATAAGGGAGAAACTATCCCAGAAGGAGAGAAGGAATAAAATGAAAATACATTTTAATATTAAAAAAAAAAAAAATGAATGAGATATCCGATTACTTATTTCTCCTCAATGTGGTCTTATTTTCCTCATATCATCTGCTTCCCGTATTTTTTCAAATAATGACATGTAAAGATGACCACAAATTCTCCGTCGTAGGCTTACCATTGAATACTATGTAAATGTATCCTACTTGAATATTTTAGTGAAAGCATAAATAGAGGGTAAGTTGTGATACTACGACATAGTTGGAATCAGATTTTAACGATAGGATATTTCATTTCCCCCTTTTTCAGGGGAATAACCCAACTTGAAACCGCAAGCAATTATGACAACATTGAAACCAATTCGTCATTCCAAAAAAAAAAGAACACACACACATGTTAAATTTCACGAAGTCATTCAGCTTCTATTTTTATTGGCAATCAATACGGATAGAGATTTCAAAATAGGATATAAGAGAGTGTACATAAAAATAAGGTGCCTCTTTCACTCCCCAAATCTATAGATCAATTCTACTTATTTTCTGTAATACAGTTCTGATAATTTTACCTTAGAGAAAACACCATGAGCGGTGAATCACACGATATTCCCCAGTTGATATTTCGCTTTCTCGTCATCACCTTTCTGTGTGACAAGGTACTGATATGGGGCCTCTGTTCGATGTTATTTCACTGATGAAGCACTTTAAAATCCGATTTGATTAATTCATCACAATTTTTCTGAAGGTGATATACCTTTGAAAAAAAAACCCTCAAGTTGAAGGGCACATATTGTTTCTAGGTATTTACCGCTATATGGAGCCATTTTTAGATGAAATAAAATTTTATGAAAATAGAAATGTAAAACTACTAAAATGGCCGTGAAAAGATGAAAGACTTTTTGACCAAAATAGCTTCATTTTTTGTGGTAGAAATGGTGTTTACAGTTTACTGAGGAATTTCTGATGTTCCCTTTCCTGTTAGTACTGTTACCTTTCCTGCTGCTGTGTTATACAGTTTTAGACTTCCTGTGTTCAAGGCGCTATTGCTTTCACATCCCCTCCACGCGTTCCAAAGCAGGTTTCGAGAAGGTCTTCAGTCGTACATCAACTGCCACGACTGTTTTCCTTCACGTGAACTATGAGTCGCTTCCGTGCCAGTTCCCCTAAACAGTTTAGACTCTTCAACTACACAATGTTATCCACACCATATTTTGTCCCAAAAGTCGTCGGTTTATTTCTTTGAGAGCACTAGGAAATCTTGACAGGAGTTCTTTTGGAACTTCCGCGCTATGGGCCGGATGTTGTTTCACTATAGTTGATGATGTCCTCCCAATTTTCCCTTTCGCTGGAGTTCTTTTTCCCACTGTTCGTCGCCTTGCAGGTTTAAAGTGGGATTTTTTCGTCGTCACAGCCATTTGTTCCTGTACAAGAAAATTCCAATAAACGGCCTTGCAACTGAAGACGTGTGTGTATCCTTTTAACTTCGACGAAACAGTTAACCTCGTTTACGATGTCGATAAGTTACCCGAAAGACAGATGTTAACAGTGGGCAAATTTATCTCTAAACTAATTGACATCGATATTTACATGCAGCATCTGGAGAACTGGCACCCGTTTAATTATCAATCAGGTTTCGTTCTTAGTCAGTTCTCGTCGTTCAAAACTTATGAGTGACCGTAACTCACCGAAAGGCCATCATTTTGATTAACCACCTCAGAGCCTTAGACTTTTGCTGCTATATATTATTCATGGGCGATTTTCTTTTAAGTTCTTTACGCTGGTGGATACTCTGCTTCGAGAAATACATTTTTATAAATGCTAATAAGCATTTTTGTCAATCAGTTACCTTGTGTTTCATTGATGGTCCTTGCTGATGTGTCTTTGGCTTTTTATTTTCCCTGGCTTCCCTTTTCTTTCTCTTAAATTCCAAGCGAGAATACAACATGGCGCGGTATTCTAGTAAAAGCAAAATACCAGAAAGAAAATCAGAAAAATAAAATTATTAAGAATAGAGGAACAAATGGCTGAGACCTTTGAAGTAACTGCTTTTTGGGGAAATATCCCAAATACGAGAAATTGTTCCATAAATGATCCAAAATCACTGTCAGAGGTGGTGATGGAAATTTATAGCCCAGATATTGGGTGAAGGATTCAGCGACCAAAATCCAAAATCACTGTCAGAGGTGGTGATGGAAATTTATAGCCCAGATATTGGGTGAAGGATTCAGCGACTCTTGTGAAGAACATCGGCAGAAACATTCTGCGGGAAATGATAAATTATCCCTACTTTTCTTTCGATATGGGGAAGAGTTTTACCAAACGTGACTTTCTTTATAGTCACTGACTCACTCCTCATTCTCAGTTTTGTCAGTTTTTATCAACATACGCAACCCGATACTAAGACGAATTTCATTAGCGATGGGAGCGTAGGTTTTATTTACTAGCAGTGCTCGTTGCAGTGTACATAAAACCCAATTTCCACAAGCCTGTTCTAAGCATTCGGTTAGTAAAATGGAGCGTAAAAAACGGCGCGATGGTCAGAGCGGCAGAGCGAAAACGGAATAGGTTTGTGCCTCCGCCTTATGCGATACCATCGGGACGTTTTCTATCGAACTCCGCACAACTGGACGGCGGGAACAAGACAATTTTTCGCAGGCTTAACCGCGCATTAAAGTCAATTGAAAAAACAAAAATACAGGGAGAGGCAGTATTTTGTTTTCCATACCTGAATATCGTTTTCCTCCAATGTGAAGAGTGGTATCCTCAAAGACGTGACCACACACACATGATTTTGATATTCCAGTTATCTAAAGATCAAATCAGTTGTAGATCAAATGAGTTATAATCAATAAGTTATAAATAGATTATCTCACTCTTTTTAATCGTTTAATGCGAGTTTTACCAATAAACGTGCATGTTAAAGATGACTTGGAGCCGAGTTAAAAATGTAAGTTGGGGTAAACCTAGTCCTGATGAGTAGAGAAGATCAGTGCCTAAGAAAAACAGAATAAAGGCGCATTGATATTTTATGGTAAAAAATAAAGGTTAAAAACACAGTGTTTGACATTTCTTCAATTCGAGAGGTGAAAAGGGTTACGAAATTAATCCTAAATAAGGAAGGATAAAAAGTGTTTGCTTTCGTAATTATTGCATAGAGGAAGTCACGATCAGGAGATTTTTAATGATTCATTATGATGTGAAATTCGTTGATGTATACAACAATCTTCCAATGAATCTACAAAATGTGAAAGGCACTTAGATAAATTTGTTTGAATGGAAGAAAAAACAAAGACTGATTAATCCAACACGATTGAAGGGAACTCGAGATAACTGCACTACAACAATTTTCTCTGCCAAGAAGCACAATTTATGACGTAATTGTTTAAGACAGTACGTGGATCCTGGATATTGACGCCTGTCAGTTAAAATTGGCTGCTCTAATATATTTGCCGTGTCATGTCTTCTTTGGATGCAACAGAATTTTAGAAAAACTTTTCAACCCAAACCGATCGTAGTTTTGGAGATTCACTGAAGTTGTGTTTTCAGTTGGACGTTCAATCAGTTCAGAATGATGAATTTCCTTATTTATTTATTTATTTTTTTGTTTCTCAGATAAAAACGTTTTCCCTGCGAATAGAGTTGGTTCGGGGACTGGAAAGGATCAAAAGTGTTTCTCTAATAAACATCTCTTAAGAACATTTCATAAAAAAAAAGATATTCAAAGCCATGAAAAGTCAAACACCCTCGTCTTCGTGACGTCTGACATCCGATTTGTGAGCTCACATGAAGCTAGCTATGGCAAGCAGTTCTTTCATGGAGGAAATTATTCTCAATGAAGCAATGAAACTGTACCGTAGAAAAATAAACTAGAAATTTTGTTTCCTCGTAGGCTAACTCCGAGACAAAAGAGCAAATATCAATATTTTGCAATTCTCGTTAATGATTCTGTAGCCAGTTTAACAGGTAAAATGTACAAGATCGAAACATAAAGAGGAGATAGTTTCAAACCATATAGGTTTACCAGGCATAATGATGATTAACATCGTTCATTCACTAATCATATATTTCCGCCGCCACTTACCAATAAATTACAAGCAAGACACTGTTGAAGAACCATGGCTTTAAAGTTGACTAGTATGTTTTGTTCTCGTATCAGCTCCTGATAGCTCTCGCTCCCCACTAAAGTTGTCACAGCTGTATGGCCCACGTTTCATTTATAGGTACTGAGTGTCAAGTGCGTGACGTCAAATCTAAAAGAGGCATCTTGACCGTTTGCACCTAGTGACGCAATAATTACAGATATTTTGGGAGTTCGTTGAACAATATTCAGAAGACAAACAATAGACAGATAACTTGTCTAGATGCTTCTTTAAACCTTTTTTTTTTTATCTCTTTCTTTTTCGAATTTTCTACGAGCTAAATTGTTGCACATGAAGAGCATTGTGCCCTTTTGCCTGGCATTATAAAAACATCGTCTTCGCTTCCCTTTACACAGTTATACGAAAGGAAAGCGTACTTTCGGCCAACGTCGACTTCCGCTGATTTAATGCAGCAACTAAATAACACAAATTCACTCCATCTCTATAGTAATTCCCTTCAAGGTTATGAACTCGTAATAAGACAAAGGTTAGTTATCATAATCAATGACTATTTCGGTACTTCAGTATTTTTCGAATTCACTCCAACGCGTTTCGGGTAGTTGATATTTACCTGGAAGCGGACCCCAAACGTACACAAAGACATTTTGATAATTTATTCTGTTTGTTAACAGTATTCGGAGCAAACCGAGTATGTCAAAACAAAGAATCGAAACATGCTCGTCAAGCAGATCATTGTTTCAGAAGACAACACAAAGAGACATGCTCGGTCGGCAGTTTAAATGGGGCAAGCGAAAGAGAGATGGAAGGGGAAAAATATAGTTTCTTGGAAAAAGAAAGTCTGACTCAATAAATCAGTATAGATTAGGGTTTCAAAATCTGTTCGAACAAAGAGTTCGGTTGATTCACGATCATAAAAGAAAACAAAACAATAAAATCTCAATAGGGAATAACAGGTATCTTAACTAGTCCCTATTTATCATGCGTACATGCAAGAGAGATTTTGCTCTGTCACAGTTGGTCAAAGGTAAGAGGCTAAGTAGCTAAGTTTACTATGTCAAAACAAGCAATCGAAACTCGTTCGTTAAGCTGGCAGATTTCCGAAGACAAAGCGACGAAACATGCCCGATCGGCAGTTTGAAGGCGGCAAGCTCAAGAGAAATCGACGAGGAAGAATATGGTTACTTGGAAAAAGAATGTTAACAAAGAATGGATTTAGGTTCTAAATTCTATTCGAACAAAGAGAGTTTTTTCAGAATAGAATACAGAGTTCAGAAATCTCAATGGGGAATGACCGGTGATCCTAACTAGCTCTAACTTATCCCATACACTGATTTTATATACGAGCGATAAAGAATCTGCCTTGTCACTGTTAGTAAGTAAGGTTTCTATAGTGTACCAGGAGGTATCAAATAATGTGTGACAATTTAAGGATTACATTTATTCTCGGGCGCTTTCAACGACAGCCTGGATAGACATCAGTTTCGATACAGGAAACGGTGCAGAGGGGAAGCAGGATGCTTTAACTTAATGAATATTTAAAGAAATTGATATTGATCGCATCACTATACTCAAGATACGACTCAAGATAATGAGAAGGGAAAGCAGGTGACTTGAACGTTTTTCAATATCTTATCGAGCGAATCCCGGTCCTAAGTTTAATCTTATCGGTCTCTCAGCCGGGACCCACAAGGCTGCTCAGTTTTACTCAGTGACACTAGTATTATGGACAGGAAGATTTTGTGAATTGTTTAAGGGAGCAAACAATGTTATTTTAGGGATTTACAGGAAAATGTTTGCCAATGAAACAGTTTGCTGTCAAGCAGCTGAAACTGTTGCGTTAAAAACAATGTTCCTTGACAAGATATCACACAGTTCTTGAATTGGAAATTAAAGAACCCCAGTCTTTGCGATGTTTGAATTTCCTGTAAGGCGTTTTGTTTTGGAACATATCGCGTCCTGTCTTTGCTTCTAATTTTATCAAACAACAGCTTTTTTGTCTCTCGGTTTCCAAGGCCATAGTGTAAGCCCCAATTATAACACTGAAACGTTGTACGACCGTAAATCGTGGAATTAAGTTTTGAGGTTGAAATAATGAATATCTGTCTTCTGTATTTTTTTATTTATTTTTTTTAACACATAAAGACACTTCAACACCCCCCATTTTTTAACAGACCGATTTTACAGAATATTTTCAACTATCCAACGACGATTTTGTTAGTGGTGGAGCTTTCCCTAATTTTTTATATGGAATGCGCGGCTGTAGCAGCTCCAATGTATCATGTTACCCCTAGCAACTCCTGCGACGTCACTCAAGCACGCGAGTACATCTTTGGTATATCAAAAAGCAAAGGTGTGGTTTAATGCTGCTCAATTCTTTTACTCTAATTGGAACTGAATTAACCCACCCACGAATTCTCTAATATGACTATAATTACCTTCCATAAATACACCTTATTCTTTCGCTCTGAAGTTGATTTTCGACCTTGTTCGTGTGCAGCTAGTAATGATTTTCCACGTAGATTCTCTTCTTCTATAAATGATGAGAGATTCTTTCGTTTAGCAGCTCAGAAAAGCTGCTTAAGATGAAAAAGTGGAATGAAAGTGATATCAGAGCTAAGATACTAAAAACAAATATCATGATCATACTATGTTAATTATGTTTCCCGAACTTTCCATATCTCTGTTTATTCTCAGCGAATGTCTTACCCTAAGCTCGGTTGTTTACGGAAAAAAACACGTGTGCCGCAACAGAACAAACAAGACCTTAAATGGAGCTGTGTCAGAATAAAAACCAAAATTCTACTGAGAACCATCCGACATTATGGAGTCAAGGGGTAAAATTGATGGATTTTGAATATAATTGCCACAAAACGATGTTTTCATTCAGAAACGACATATTACGAAACTGCGTATTTTCAACTCTTATTTAGAGTGATATCTTAACTGAGTGATATCACGGATATTTGACTGGCAATAATTTTGGTTGAGAGCTTCTAGAATAGGTGTGAACCTGAAGCCCCAAGGCCCTCGTTAATCGTTTCCGTTCAAATTGTAGCTGGTCACAGCTACAGTTTCTAGAACGATTAATTAGTGAGACCCCACAATTTGCGGATGAAACTGTTCGCCCTTTCCGCTTTTATTCACTGCTTTGGTTCTCTTCTTACATGCTTTGGATGAAAGCAGTTTCGTCAGATCTATCCTTTACAATATTTCCATCGTGGTTTTCCCACTAGAGAACTGTTGGTCAGTCCGTGAAGGTTACCTTGTTCCGTCACAAACAAGTGCTTAATTGGTGTCGTGCTTGATGTCGCTGGCTCCAACACTCAATTAACGCTGCGCTTGTCAGCTATGAAGTTTTTCTAAATTCACATAATTTTCACTTAAAATCATCATTTCGCATATATTTTTCATCGAGCAAAATTTTTTCCATACGATTTATTGAATGTGGGTCGTTTAGTAACAGAGGGATTTGTTTCGTCCTCGAGAAGAGAAAACCCATTTGACCTTGTTTTCCTCGTCTGGCCTTTTTTATCGTCAGTTCCTAATTATTTATGTATTTATTTAGTTTTTTATATTCACACCTACAAATGGAAAGTTTCTTAATTACTTCCTTATTTTGAATTTTTTCTCGGATCAACAATGCTGTGCATGATTTTTTATTATCAGCAGTGCAGTTATTTCTCCCTCTAAACTTATTTACAGTATATTACTACACACAGTTTGGAAAAATTTCTCGAAACGATATCCAGTTGTCTCAGGTCTACCATTCCAAAAGTGTTTGGAATGTAAACGGTCAAAATTTGAAAGAAGTCCTTCAGTATCTTTATATCATATTTTAACTTAAACAAAGCTCAAAATGTTGATTAGATTTCTAGCCTGGTTGAATTAGGAATATGGTTTATCATTCAAAAAATTTTGCATTAAATACATTCTCCCTCTGAATATCTGGTGTAATAAGCACTCTACCATTCAGTTGAGAGAATAAGAGCATATTTTGTAGAAGTGCATCATTACGTAAACCTCAATCGTGCAAATTACTATCAATTACGGCCGGTTTCATTTCACGCTTGCTTGAAGTGCATAAATCTTCAAAGAAGGATCTAGCCCTTTATAGATATCTGGAGATGGTTATGTTCGAATGAAATATTAGTAAATCTACTTAAATGCATTCTTATCAGTAACTTAGTATGACGGGTTTTCAGTCGTGTTTTAAAGCGTCTAGCTTTATGCCCCTCAAGATTGCTATGCTGGGCAAATTATTGCTAATAAGTTACCTCTACAAAGTTTGAAGAACAAAAATTCTACGCAAAAGAGACCATGGCCAGAAAACATTGTTTCTTTTTTCTTTTTTTGCTTTTTTCTTTTTGTTTTGTTTTGTTTTGTTGTTTTGTTCATTTAAAGTCAAATTTTGAGCAAATCGTTTTGAAAAAAGCCGAAAGCAACTCTCTCCTTCAAAGACTACTTAAGTTATCCCCTAACGTAATTAACCGTTATCTTTTCTTTGAACTACAATCCCCCTATATTTGATTAGTTTCATGGGAGACGCGTGCTACTAGGGTAACAAAATATATCTGCTAATGTGAAATGCGTAATAACATCGCACAACTCACATCTTCCACGCACTTGAGGCTTTGTGAGGAGAGGAAACTTATGATCATGCATTATTTAAGTCGTAACGAGTATTTGATGTAGAAGCAAACGCGTCTCTTGGCTCGTGAACTTCACGAGCGGCAACCTTTCACGTCTACCAGAGGTATCCGCAATTAGATTTCCATTTACATGCATTAAAAGGATTGTACTAATTCCGTGCGTTGTTTTTCAATTCAGTGACGTCACACGTTGTGTTACCATTCGTTCCACGCAAGGACGAAGTCAGGTCAAAACATCCACGAATTGAAATACCACTGAGCGACACGGGTCCGCTACAATCGTGAAAGTACGCAGTGGTTTCGACTGCAAGCGAGTTGAAGATAACCTCGCCATGTCTGTTCAACAGTGTTTAGCTTGTAATGCTGTGGTGAGTAAGCTGAGTGATAAAAATCGTTCATGTTATTCATTTCGAACGTTCTCCTCTGTCAACCGATTTTGAATACACATGTGTTCAACTTGTCTAGCGAAAATTAATAACCTCACATCGCCTTGGATTCTTCCTTTTCGAAAGCATCAGACAACGCATGTTATTCTCTTTTGAAATCAGATGGTTTTACAACAAAACGACGGGCTGAATCCACCAGAAAGCACATTAAACCGCGCCAAACTAAAATTTTCGCTAGCTGTTAAGATATTGATTTTGCCCTGCCAGTAACACGCAGTAATTCGTGTATATCAGACGACATAATTTATGCCGCTTTTAGCCTGAACACTTCGAAACTAAAGAGGAATAAACGCTTATTTGACCATAAAAGACTGTGACAAGCAGCTGTCGTGCGTGGCTCTGACAAGAATAGAATTTAGCCCAAGAGTGCATCACAACAGTTATGGCGGTTTTGGCTTCAGTTGTGAAGGAAGAAAATACCTTCAGAAAAATTACCTCTATCAGCAAATAATCTAAACTGTAAATCAACCACTGTCACGTTCGTGTATTCTTAATTACATGGATGAAAATCAAAGCATTTTTGTCACGTTAAAATAAGCGTGCGCAACTTGGAAGCTTTTGTTAAATCTCGCCAGCGTTAAGATTCAATTTTTGCTTTACAAAATGACTTAAAACCCATACACCCTTCCAAGGCTCTGTTTTGCTCAAAGTTCTGATTCACTGTTGCCTCCCTGAACTAGCCAATGAAGTCATCCCTTCTCTCTTTATTTGTATTTTTTTCACCACTGTTTTTTAACCTGTAAGACTTGACTTTCGAAAGTAATTATCAGCGCGTGGTTTGGACGTGTGCTGCTCAGTGTCACGTATCTCCATTGCTGAATATTTCGTTCCGCTACCCCAAGAAATGAGTTGGTTGTCTCATAATGAGTAGCTGTAACCTTTCCTGGATACTTAATAATTAATTATGTAATGCTGCCCAAAGAAGTAACTGTCGGAGACTTATGCCTGCTGAAACGTCAATAACAGCCGTCTGACTTACTAGAATCTGGGAAATGGCCTTCAAAACTTATTTTGACTGAATCGAAGCTAAAAAAAGAAGATTATCCGATCGTCTTAACAGAGAAGTCAGTCATGGCGGTAAAATTTCCGACATGCGAGTGCAAGTAAACTATAGTTTAGAGCTCTCCTCTCTCTTATCGCAGCACTCTCGTCACAAAAAGCGTTCATACTTCAGTTTTCAACTACTCTGTCAAATAAATTGTGATCTTGGTTCTTCTCTGAATCGAGGGTAATGCCCTTCCTAAGTGCCACTCATGTGCAAGCATGTAGTATAACCGCCTAGCCGCCGGCAGGCGACATTGCCTTACTGACATTCCACGTTTACTTAGGTATATTACCCTTTGAAAGCCTTCTTTCAGATTATTCTGAAGCTCGGTTCAGCAACAGGCAGCTGTACCAAATTTAGAATGAAATATTTAGTCTTGATGGTATTTATGAATTTTCTCGAGAGAATAACATCAGATGAGTCAAGCTCAAAATATCACTACTTTGTGAACAGACGTGGGTGTATCGAAAGAAGTCGTCTCGATCAGTGTGGCTCTTCCTCGCTAGAACAAAGGATCCTTTTCTACACTGGAAAATTTGCTCATATGCACTCAATATCCTATCCGGTCGATCGAACATATTGGCCCGTCAACCGTTAATACTCCTTTTCTAAACCACACTCTGACCTCTCCATTTAATAGCTTAGTATTTCTCTCAAATACTCATGGAGCATGTGGTCTCGTCAACCGGTTAGGCAGAACTTGAATTATTCGTCACAACTGCTTTCAAAAGACAGAATTGCCTGCGAACTCTCTCTTCGCGGAATCGTGTTTGTTTTACCTGCATCAGTTTTGAAATTTCAACCCTTTTGCTGAAAATCAGTATTCTTGATAACATCTTATCTATGTAAAACGACCCGTCTTCCTATCTAAAGGGGGCCCTCTCCGAATTATTAGTCTGTGGAACAGTCATAAGAGACATAAACACCGAACAAATTAAAGAGGAGGACGAAAAGTTTCAGCGCTTCTCTCACTTTCCACCCGTTCGGCCCATGCGTTGCAGATGCCTCGAATCTCAGAATCAAGGCCTGACCACAACACCAGTGTTATAGTATGGAGATGTTATGGAGATGTTCTGTATTGACTGTCCGTTTGTTGTGAGCCCGCGTAGTATGCAGCGGTAATGTTACCATGTGCTCTTATTGATATAATCTTGCTGTTGACCCGCCATCTTGTGTGTGTGTGTATACTCTTCTGCGACCCAAAAACGTAACAACCAGGAGCTATGTTCCCTACTCTTTGCGATAAGTGTGTGCGGGGTTCTTTAACGTCCCCTGCCAGCCAGAACAGAGAACATGCAGGAGACGGTGCCTACGGCTTTTCGTCCTTATCCGAGGGGACTGGAATGTCTAACCATTTGCAGTTGTCATAGCAAAGGAAGCACATTCTCCTCAGTTATTTTAAGACCCTGAATGTTGGCTGACTGGCTGGCTGGCTGACTGGCTGACTGGCTGACTGGCTGACTGGCTGACTGACTGGCTTACTGACCGGCTTACTGACCGACTGACCGATCAGGCGACCGACTGACTGACTGTCCTCCCCCCCCCCCTCCCTTATGAAGGAAACATAGTTCTTGGATTAGAACAAATGATTGACGCACTACAAAAACACACACAAAAGATCACTTTTGTGAAACGTTAGGAAAGTTATAACTATTACTTTATGTCCCAAATTCTCAATATTTTCTTTAATTTTAAATCACTTAGGTTCCCAAGTCAAGTAAGTCATGCCAGTGTGGTCACGTTTTTGAAGATGTCAAACAAATCGCGGGAAAACGGTTTTCAGGTAAATGTGGAATGTTGAGCGGGATAAAACTAACTGTGAAAAAGTTGTTAGCGGATTCATGTTGTATATTTATTTTCTGCAGAGTATCGAGCTGAGTTGTATTGGCGACTAGAAAGCAAACGAATGAAAGCGTTATCAAAAGAGAACACTCCACTCAACGAAGTGACATCCACTGATGAAAATAACAACGTCAGCAAAGATGACAAACACATCAACAACGAGGTAAAGTGGGTGATTCCGTCTGTTATTTATTTTGGCGCCTTTCGTTATTCGCAACGCTTGATAAAATAAAAATAATGTAGGATTCGGTATGAACCTTAATGAGTGTCCTCGCCTTTTGTTAAGTGGATTGAATCAAAGATGGCATAATCGAATATGATGGATTGAATAATGCAATTATGTGCAAACAGGACTCCATGGATCACCTCTCATTTATTTTTCTGTCGTACTAGCTTAGGCTTTAAGGGAAAATTGAGCAAAACACTCTTTCCAGGAATTCTTGCGCTAAAGTTAAGGTTATGGCAGGGTTCACTGAGAAGGCGACCCCTAGAAGGAGTGGTTGACAAAAGGAATTCCTTGCCTATCCATGAGGGTCCCAATGGAGTTAACCATTAGCCGTAAAACGGCCAAAATATTTAGTGTTTGGCCTAGAAATTGGCTAATGTTATCCGTTAGTCGTAAAAAAGTTAACTGTAAAAATGTTTCTTTGAACCGTAAAAGTAAAACTGGGGCAATAACCTTAGTTTGGCCTTTTAACTTGGTCAGGTATAAAGAACTGAAGTGACATCAGAATTGAATGTCATCGATATAACAACTGAGCTTAATCTTCTGTTCACGTGCGGTTTTAAACTCAGACAAAATAAATCATGTTGCTAGTCTTGATATTTTGAGTTTTAAGAGGTTTTCTTGAAATCTCAGATCCCCTATCTAAAAATTGACCTTGAGGGAAGCACGTGCTCAGTCATGGTCAATTCTCAAGGTGAACCAAGATAACAATTTACAAACGCAAAACTGCATGACCCAACCAAAAATAAACTTACTGATCAAATAGGCCATAGATTTTATCGTATTCTCGCTTGCGTGATTACCATTTCCGAGTTTCAAAAACCCTCACTTTAAAATGTGGCTAAGTGCAACTCAAATGATTCTTGTGAAAATGCTGTAGATTTGATTGAGAATAAGGCATCGTTTTCATTTCAAAAGCTTTACCCTTGCCCTCGTTCTAAAAGGAGAATTTTAGCATTTAAAAAATGACGTAATAATTCAGTTTATTTAACACTCAGCAGAAAATCGCGGAGCCTATTGCTCGGTTAGCACCAGTCCCCAAGAAAAGAATTCTTCAGCGCAGGGTGAAAGGCCTGTGTCCCACAAACAAAGGACTTCATAAGCCTTCTAACGTGACCTACCAACGTGTTCCACCCACCAACGACAAAACTGTCTCACCTGAAGTTCTACACCGACTCTCTAAAGCCCTGGAAGAAATTAACAAAAAGATTCTAACGCAAAATATGGTGTGGAAAAACTTGGTATAGGTGGAGTGCCATAAATGTCATTTGATTCCATCAACTGTCTGACGAGTCATTCAAACATCGTCGGCATTTACGATGAATTCTGGCAGATATTTTCAGGAATGAATAACCCACGGGGTGAAGAATCATCAAATGACTATCGTTGTTCACATCATTCGGAATTCATCTTTAATAAGTCAATTGTCACTTTGTACGACTAATTGGTCACTCTGACACGAGGTACCATGTCTGCAAACAATTTATTTAATAATTAAGTTGTCTCTTAGAGCTTTCGCCATATGCGTGTGCTCGTGAAAACGGCTATATGAAGACAGGATTCAAGGGTAATTAAAATTTTTTTTTTCAATAAATACTCCTACGAAATCAATCGTCAGCACAGGGCAGATGTGTTCGCGGAGTACGTAGGTATTCATACATTTGATATCTAAGATCAAAGATAAAAAAAAGAAGTTCAAGTTTTATGCCCAGGGCCGAACATTTTCTTCGTGGTACGTCCGAGTGAGAAGGAGAAGGTGGGGAGTTGGATGTTGATTTATCACGTGCATGAGCCCATCCATAAGAAAGACGTCATGCATTGGACGAAGATGCAAAGGTCGCCAACTAAATTTACATTGTTGCGAGTTAGATGAACAGGCTTGAATCATAACGAGAAGCAAAAACAAGAACAGGGGGTGGGAGGAGGGGTTCAGAATTATTCGAAAGCGTTGTTGGCTCAGGATGGAACGTGTTTTGAAGACGGCGAAACAGGGGTAAACGAAAGTGAATCCAATAAAGATTCAAGAAATAGCAATACATCTTGTTTTGAATCTATCACTACTAGCGCTTGGTTTTATTTTCGTTCCTGAATACGTAATAAAAATATTGAGTCTCCATAGCTGAATAGCAAAGTTTCCCCAGATTTCTTTTTCACGAGGCAGTCATAAAAACACTCCAGTTGAATATCGGCAGTTGAGCAACTCGGGGTAACCCGGGTGTGGAAGGGGGGGGGGGGATGAGGGAAGGATTGTCTCAGGTACCCAAGTCATATAAATGATGGGGCCTTAGGGATAAAAAGGTTTAACTGACCAAAAGCGTTAAGGCTCCGGTAGTAGATAGATGTATACGTTTGGATATTTCACGCTAGGGACGCAATTCCCTTGGAAAAGGAAAAAACACTTAGTAGTGCTGTATCGTACTCCTGCATCGTAGACAAGTTGGACCTAGCGCGGACAATATGTGGCATGATTTGACCTGTCTGCTCCGTTTAAAGGAGGTAAAACACAGATATCAAATATAAGAGGAAGAAAACATACATCGTCGAGAATGGAAAATTGTTAACTTTACACTCCTCTAACCGGCGCATATCATTTAGAATAATCAGGTCAGGTGGTTTTATTTATTTTATTTTTTTTTTCTGTTTCCTTCTTGCGTGCTATGCTTTGTTTCCGTTTGGATTAGAAAGGGATCGTTTTCCTTACTTTCCAACGATTATCACACTTTTTTGCACGAAAGAAATACAATGGTCTTACGATGCATCTTCGTCTTGTAATTAAACTGAACTTTAACCAGGAAATTAGCAAAATCGAAAAAGTTTTTTTCCCGGCTTCTCTACGGTCAGCATCTTTTGTGCAGACTGGCTATTCCTTGTATAAGTAAGGAGACAAAGACATTTTATGAATTTCTTCCAACTGTTCCCTACAATGTTCTCATGATAATACCTCTTCTGTACGAAAAAAAACTTTATATCCGTTTGGGCGTCTTTTAAAGTAAAATATCATGTGTTGAGTTTTAGGAAAATCAGTGCAATCGACAAAGTGAGTCTTATCACGGCGATGGCTTCTCTTAAGCTGATGATGTCCTAATTAAAAAGAGTGACGAACGATGTTCTTCAGAATTTTTCCCGATTGTTACGCCCCAGCTTCAATATAATTTGGGCGGATACAGTGAGATAAACCGGCAGGGATACAATGTTAAACGGATACAACGAGCAAACAAAACCCATTCTATGAACGTCGATAGCCGGGTCTTTTGTGTTGAGGAAGACTAGAGACAATTAAATTGCTGTTTAATTGCAAAGCTTCTGTGACGATACCCGCCACAAAGGTGGGCGCCCTAAATACCAAGCACAAACAAGCCAGAGAAGACACGCCACAACACAACTAAATGTTGGCCTATAAATATTTATTATTCTAAGTAAGACAATAAAGTAACTAACAAATACAATGAGCTGAATTATTTACCTTAATTAATTTACAGGAATACAATAATTTTAAACTACAGTACACTAAATCTATTTATCAAATATATCTTATTAACCAAGCGCGAGGGCCGTACTGGGAGAATATCGGCCCGAGGTCTTGACAGTACGGACCGAGCGCAGCGAGGTCCGTACAAAAAAGACCGAGGGCCGATATTCTTCCAGTACGGTCCCGAGCAAGCTTGGTTAATAAGAGACTTATTATACGACTGAAGTTCAAAGGGACACGAGTGCGGTATCATTCGGGACCATTCGGGACAGTGCCCGGTCCAATACTTAGAGAATATTGGACCGGCAATAGAGCATTTTGATTGGTTGATTTTAGTTATTGGCCCTCTGACTGCCCGAGTCGTGTAATAAGATATATTTATATAAAAAAGGGTAGATTTTTTTTTAAGTTCAGTTCAGTTCGCCCTCGATCCCTGTGCTTGACCTGTTCTTAACCCAACCACGTTCCACCAACAAACGACTGATAAACCAAACTCGCGATTCACAAACCTAACTCACGTTTAACCCAGCTAAACGTAGAAGTTTCCAACTTCACGTAATTCGGTCTTCGCTCAGATCTTTCTTGACTCAGTTGTCTTCTCTGGCTTACTGTCTAACAGAAGATAATCTTCTCCTTTTCCTTCAAGTTGTGGAGGAGAGGGGGGCTTATTAGTTACTAGCATTTCCTTCTTCTGCGCTTTCTTCGGCCAGCTTCTCGGCACACATGCGCTCCCCGGCAAATGGACTCTTTGTCGTGTTAAGGAACGGTTTTACTGAATGACTCTTCGGTGATTAAAACGTGTTCTGATCCGAATGATCCTTGGTAACTTTCAAACCTTCACCGCCGGTGACCTTCTCTCCAAACAGGGAGAAAAAAAAAAAAAACCTCACGCCGTAACCACACGAATCCTTATATACATGTGGATGCAAGGTGCCAGAAAAGAAGGAAGAAAACTATTTGATATATTAAAATAAAGGTTAGTTACACAGCAGGTTACACAAGTGAAGAATACAAATTACGTCAGATACAAATATCACACACTACATTGATCCCAGGAGAATAAAAGAATTATTTACATACCCCTAAATAAATACTTTTGGACGTTTTCACGACAGCTTCACGTCAGTTAAAATCAATTCATTCGAAATTTTTCCTTGGATGGGTGGTCTGCAGTACACAATTTTGCGTTCACGATTAATAGAAACTATTTCCCTATATAGTTTTAATTCGACATGATCGTTTTCAAATTTTATCGCAAAACTAGAAGTGAAAGAAGCAATATCTACTGATTACACGAAAAAATGGTAGCTCGTAAAAAAAACGGGCCGTCTAAATGTCGATGATCTGCCGTGCAGTGGGGGTAATGATCGTGGCACTTATTGTAAACAGAATGTCCTAAATAAACCGCGGTTAATGTGAGCCTGATCTTAAATCAGCCAGCCTTCTTTTGAATACTAAACCAATTCATTGTTATATCCCACTTGATCCTTCAAACGCTTTCTCAACATTGAAATTGTTTTTTCAGTTTTTACGTGAAAGCAGCTTTCTTCCAATTTCCTATAAAATGAGCCAATTACGAATTGCTTTTAGAAAATCTCCAGGAAGTAAGTTTAAATAATAAGGTGAAAATGAGGTCATGATTTGCATACGGACTTCTTAGATGGAAGATTATCATGAATCATCTATGAATCATCTCCAAACATTCTCTTCGCCAATCTCGCCCTTGTCGATCTTATCAACGCACTCACAGGTGTTCCACTATATGCCATTGTCCAAGGCCATCCCCGTTGGTTGAAAGGTAAAACGATTACCACGATTGCAAGTGCACAACACCTGGGATTCACGTTGCTGAGCTTGGTATCCATGTTTGCCTTAATGTTAGACAGATTTCTGACTGTCAACAAGGATCTGAAGTATTTCACATGGAAAACAACCGAGAAAGCGAACATTGCTGTGGCCATTGTGTGGATTGTGTGTGCCACAGTGACGGCGTTAGCTTCTTTCCAATTGACTTTGATCGACATAAATCTCGACAATGTTCCATTGGGTGAGGCTAGAAGAATGATATTCGAAGTACGAAAACCAGTGGTTGGATCAGTGTGGATTTTGTTTACCACAGCTTTAACGATATTTGGAATATTGACCAGTTATGCCATCTACCATAAGAAAAAGAGGGTAAGAAAACATCCTTTTCGGAAAGAATGTTTAAAGGTTTTTTTTTAACTAAACTACTCAAAGGCGTAAGTTAGAAACGGTTATAATAGCCATTCGACGTACGTGTTGCTTCCTCACTTTGATGTTAATCGTGACGTTGTGAAGTTTCAATTAGTAGTGTAGCAACTGCATCGTTAGAGTATTTGCTTTTTTTTTCACAGTTATGATTAAATGTCAATAAACGTGATTAGTGCCAGTACAGGTAAGCTTGGTCCAACATATCTCTTAAACAAAAGGGTGACCTTGTTTTATTGTATTTTTCAAACATTTGAGAAAAGTTAAAAAAATTTTTTCCTTAACTTTTTTCCCCGAGAAATCGCCTTAAGAAATTAATACCTAAATCTGTCCTTAAATTGGATAAGAACTACCAAACATGACATGCAACATTGGTCTACCTGTAGAAAAAAGCTGAACAATGATCAGCGCGATGATCGTGCTTAAATGTTAATAACACAACCCAGTCGGGAAAGAAATAACACTGTGAGCAATGCTACATCCATATCCGTCTCTCGTTTGTTAATCGGAGTTTGAGGCCGAGAATATACATTCATGCATATCAAAGCTGAGATAAACTATGTTGGTCACAAGGCCATCTAAAAGAAACAATATAGTTAATGATGAATTATCTGATACTTTTACTTGAATAACCTGGGGTGACACCACATAGAAATAGAAATTTACGCTTCCTCTTCTTTAATACTGAGAAAGCTCCTAAATCTACCCACCCTTCAAGAGGAAGCTAGACTCAAAAATGGACATAAGAGCCACCAAAACTGTCGTCATGGCTATTGCAACCTTCTGTGTTTGTTATATTCCAGTAATCGCCTTCAGCATCTCGGGTCGTGAAGACAAGAACGGGTGGTTCTCTTTTGCAGCTGGTTATTCAACCTTTATAGCAAGCGCTTCTAATCCAATTATCTATGTATTACGTAATCGAAGAAACCGCTCCGCTGTTCGACAACTCTTAGAAGACCCTTGCGGAACAAGTGCTTTTAAGGAAAACCCGTGAGTCCACGAGGTGAGGAGAAACGAAAGAAGGGTATGACCAAAGAACTTCAAATTGAGCAGCCTAGAGTATTCACAAAGCTCCATAAAAGCACAGAAAGCTCAGAACACGAACCAAAGTCGCTAGAGCCAAGCAGAATGGAACAACTGTTGGCAGCAAGTGAAACCGGAGTAGTTAACTTAAGCAGCAAAGATGGCAACATGGAAGAAAAGAAGAAGAAACGGGTCGAAAATCGGAACATTAAAGAGTTTTGGACATCCACAAGACCACGGGAAAACTCGGTAAGAGAAGCTAAACTTCCATCCGCCAACAAAAGGAAGATGTTCCAGCTTTGCAGAGTGGGAGCATTGCCAGAAATTAAAGTAGATGTAATCCTGCGTAGCATTGGCAGCCAAGATGGTGTCACATAATATCCTTGGTAAAATATGTTTCCATCGCTTCCAGTGAGTTTAGGTATTGTAAACTAAGCAGTCTTGTCATCTACTCGAGTTTGTGTTAATAGCAAAAACTCATGTATTACGTCACGTGGTTTCAAGAGTGCGAAATAGCTCGATTCATGTCGGACACACAAGCCGTAATTTGGAGTGAATACTGTCTCTAAATATTGTTGGAATACCGTGTCAAGAGCTCCTAAGCTCGTATAAGGGAGCCGTGCAATTCGCGTATACTGGAAACTACTTTAATTTAAGACTCAGACAGAACCGCCTTCATTTGAAACAACAATTTATGTTCAGATATTCAAATTTTGACAAATAGATGTTCTTTTCTTTACGATTCAAAATACCCAATAATGCATGAGTAGAAGTGACTCGGTAATCTTTTACAAAAGAAATACCAAATATGGAAATGTTTGTTCAATTACACTGATTACCGATCCGTGACGACTTTGTGTCGATTGTCCAGTAATGACCATAACTGATTCTGGGAGACAAGACGTCTATTAATTTCTGTTAGGGCGATGGGAAACCTTCTTTGGAGATTTCCCAAAGTGAAAGTATTTTTCGATTCGCTCAACTTGCTCTTCATGATGTGTTGTGATTGGTTGAGTTGTCGTCTAATCACCTTGGGTCTTATAGATGGTTCTTTTTCTCTTCGAATAACGTCACTTCTAGCACCTTCCTCGGTTTTCGGACAGAGAGAACAGCTTCCTTCCAGTAGGCAGATATGCTGTGTGATAAAATTAAGTAAATGTTTCTTTAAACATTTGAAAGAAACTCTTGGCTTTCAAACATCGCTTTTACCAAATTCAGTTTGCCGCTTTATGGCAGTTTTCATACTTAGTATCCACGTCCATTACCAAAGGAATCGCAAATGCCAATCAGAGCGAAGATCGACATCATCATCAGCCAATGAGAGCTCAATTTACAAAATAAACAAACTGCCTGCAGCGCACTAGTAGAAAAAACGCGAGTGAATAAATTGCAACTAAGAATGTAGTTTATCCTGCTAAGTTTTCCAGTAGGCTCGAACGTGATGTACTCAATCCCGTTTGAATAGCTGCCATTCAAACATAAGGAATGTTAGTAATTTTAGTGGGGACGAAAAAGCACATACTTACCTCAATTTTACCTTTGTTTTGAGCTCTCTCCCCAAATGGTTTGTTTTCCCCAGTGATTAATCTTTGCTTCCTGTTTTCCAAACGCGAGTAAAGCTGTGCCCTGTATTCTGTGAGAGAGAATCATTGCAATGCATTCGGTCTTCAATGAAGGGCAGTGAATTTGTTGTCTTTATAGTTCAGTGTGCATAGGGGGCTGGTATACCGCCGTCCAAAAGTGTTAAAGACGCTCTATCATGGAATAACCATTGTGTGCAATTCATACACGATATGGATTAAGTTAGTAGTAACAAGAATTCAGTTAGTATTTTAGTCTAATTAATTGACAATCTCAAAGCAATTAATCTTCATAGATATCTATGTAATCAAAGTCTAAGTTGAAATTGGTAAAATGTTAATGAGGAAAAAAAGAACAATAGTCTTGTTGGAACAATATGTTCAGTATGCGCCCGTCCGAACATAAAATTGTAACATCCCCTATTCATGAATAAATGCATGCAGGGCCCAATTGAGTTTCAGTCATTCATTTCAGTGAAGAACGGAACTTCACGTTGAAAATACTCGGCATTAAATCGTTTAAGCCTTGAACTATCCACTACCTTAATACTTAAGAGTGACTAGCAGCTAATTTTTCTTTACAATACTGACCCTCTGAATCAAACATCACGGTCAGGGGACTGATCGCTAACTTAAAAGAAGCTTATGATTATTGAACAATTTCACCATGTCAGTAGCATATGGTATAGTAAACAGAACGGAGAATACGCTTATAAATGTTAGAGTGTAAAAAGATAACAAATTGCAATCCGTTAACTATATTTGTGTGTAAATTGCAACGAACTGCATAGAATGGCTAAATTGCAACGACAGTGAAATGATTTCATTTATTTTTTTCTTCTTTCATCATCACGGATCTCGAGCTTGCAATCGGGATCTTACCAGAGAATCTCTTTCCCCCAATCAGTTTGATTTCCTTGTAGACATGACCACAGGTGCAAGACGTATCTATGGACTCAGAATCGGGGATCTGCTTTTGATAAAACAGGGTCATCAATTTTTGTTGTCGAGCTTGCCACTTTAATTCACTCTGATAAATTCACCTTTTCCTTTCACAAAGCTCCCTTTACTTGCTAGATAATGTTATCGTTATCTGAGGATTGGCTGAAATCTTTTTACTTTCTGCTGGACTAAAACAATTCTCAAGGGAGTACCGCTCTGCACCTATAAAGATTGTTTTTGTGACTATAAATTAAAAGTACCATACACACGAACTGAAAAACTGATATTCGAAAACGACATTGTTAAATCAGATCGGTAGGAACGATTCTACAAATGAGGCTACATTTCAGCATAGCACATAAGGATGATCATCAACAGATTTGAAATAGGAATTGTGAAAACACTGTGTCACGGTCGTACCACGGTGTAAAAAAATAAAGCTGTTACGCTAGGTCAAACGGTGAACGATGTTGACCAAAACGATGCACATGTACTTACCATGAGATTACAAGCCACACATTGTTGCCGTTGAATCATAACGGGGATTTTTAATACCTTTAGTGGAACCTTTTTAGTGCTGTTAAGGATAAACTTTGCAGGCACAAGGTCAAAATTTTCCACGGTCGTCATGAAAGTACTGATCGCGTCATACACGCGTGCGCAAGGGGGTCAAGTTTACCGACGTCATCATTTCAATACGTTGCGTGACAGTCACGTAACATGATTCAACCGTTGAATGGACAGTAACGTTTCACATGGTTCAAACGACGAATTTCACATGTGCCGAACTTAATGCAAGAGTTAAATGCGTGTGAAGTGCGACGTTTGAATCAATTAAATTCGACTGTTTTAAATTAAATGCGACTTTTGCCGTATCTGCGACTGAAACCGTCGAGGATTCGACTTAGGTTCGACTTTTGATTCAAACGTCGCATCTCACATGTGCCGAACTTAATGCATGAATTGCAGGAAATTATTATAATTCATTTATTACCCACAAATCGCCAGGAATTCTATGAATGCCATTCGCGAAAAAGCCAAAACAGCACAAAAAAATGGTGGGAGACGAAGGAATTTGTAGTTCTTGCTTTGAAAAGACAAAATACAGTTGTTTGACGTCCGGTAATTACTTTTGTATGAGGTGTTCGGTTTTTGAAAACGAAGAGGGCACTCCTGGGTGGAAAGTAGGAAACTCTGAGGCATATTGTATGTCGTGTTTCAATGAAATGATGGAACATGAATCAAGTGAAAGTATCATGACGAAAAGCCAAGATAAAGAAGCAAAAACAAACAGCAAAACAAAAGCATCAGTGAAGCAATTAAGCAAACGCTCTCTAGACGTCTTCGTCTAGCAAATAGGTAGTGCGCCTGGCAATATCGACAGCGAACAGAGTTAAATGCGACTGAGTTAAATTCGACATAGTGGTAGTAGTAGTAGAACTTTATTAATAGTGTCAAGAGCCGTCTAGCTAGGGAAAAATCCCTTACTAATTTGGGAACACTAAAAAAGAAAAAAGACTGGGAGCTATTTACAGTAGTATATATATTAAAACTAAGAGAAAATCTATAGTTAACTTGTTACGGGATTTGTATTAAAAATATATAAAATTCAAGAGGAGCAGAGGCTACAGCGTGTGCAGCCATCATCCAAGAGCTCACTTATACTGAGTTGGCGTATCTTGCCTTTGAACGACTTGAATCAAATTGAACGACGTTTGAATCAAATGCCGTATTTAACTATTTTAGTTGACTAAAATAGGAGTTAAGTTCGGCACATGTGAAATTCGACGTTTCTTGACCCGGATT